TCTAACCCGGAATTTCACGGGTTAGAATTATAGAAAATACATATGAAGTTTGAAATAGAATAAAGTCAAAGACAGAAATATTAAAACAGGTAGAAACAAACTCTGGAATTCGCAGAAATTAATTAAATTTGGATTTGAATGAATTTGAAATTCGTATTACTTTTGTAATATGTCCGCTTATTTTAATTGTCATCGGGGGTAATTCACTGCCTGCTAATTGTATAAACCTGAGAGACGGACTGCAAGAAGTATATGACGAAATATATCAGATAGCCAACAGAAAAAAGTAATTATCTGACTACTGATGTGTTAAGAAGGAAGATTAATAACTAGTGTATACAAATGGTTGTTATATTACTTTTGCATGTTCAAATATAGTGAGAGTTGCAGTTACTCTGGTACCATATATGTGATATACGTGTCATCAATTTCAGGCTACACTTCATATCATCAGTCGATATTTTTTCCGTCGAACTTATACTTATATATTTTAGTATTGGCAACAGTGTTCGTACATGTGGTTAAAGACGAATAAATAGTTGAGAAAGTCTGTGATAAGGGTACGCAATATACAGTTTATGTTTGTGTGTACATGCAATTTGGATCTGCAATGTGATCATTTCAACCATAACCCACTAGAGAGGTGTAACCTTTTACAATAAAGGCCAATACTGAAGCCCCTGTTTACCTAAACATCCACGATTTTGTTGTATTCATCAGAGTGGGTATCACAATATACAGGAACTCAATATTTAACGGCGTGAATGCCGGGTAAATATTATTCTAGTCGTTTATCAAACAAAACCAAAGAAAAACTTATACATTGGTGCTTGAGAAGGGATGTGCTGTAACATATAATTCGTAAAATCAAACTTGTGCGACTTAGATGACTTGGTACATGTACGAATTATCGGGTATTATCTAATATTTGTGCATCCTCATATTTTATAGATTGGGATTCTGATGTTGGAGCTATTGTTGGAGGTTCGATCGGCGGCGCGTTTCTTTTGCTACTCATAATAAGTGTAATTGGCATATGCATCTACAAACACGGCCAACGCACCACTGCCACCAACATCCCAGTGTATTATACTGCAGACCCGATACCTGTGGTCAACAACATGGGCCAAGCACTGATCACCAACGCAATGCCCCCAACAACCTACACTGGACCTACTACCTACACACTGGCAGATCAGGGTTCTACCGTACCTTCTTCTGGGGTACGTCAGTGCGGAAGCACTGCCAAACAAATATTGAAGGTGATGGTGTACAACGTCATCGATTATCAAATGCATGATATCACCATTCTGTCATGACTGTAGCAAAGGTACTGTAAGTCCCCATGGTCCCTAGTATGGTGAACTACCTTCAGTTGCTGGTGATCTATAGCCAATTTTTATATTGTGTTGTTCTCTAAAGTTAAAATGTTTTAGATTTAATTGCTAGTTTTACATTTATATCTGTGATATTCTAGTTGTTTTACTGTCCTTCGTTGACAGGATTTTATACTCTATCTTTCATTATTGTTAATATATATGTTGTTTTAGTCACGATATGGCTGAAATATTGCCAAAGTGACTTAGATTTTAACTCATTCTCTCACTCACTGTCATGACTACAACAGGATAGTTAGGTCATTAGGCCATTTGAAATAGCACAATAGACCTCCACTCAAATGACTAATGGGCAGAGGTGCTTTGGCGAATGGCTCTAGCGTACTTATCCTCACTGAATGGACCTATACACTTGTGTTTGCTTTATACCACGTGCAGTCTGCAGTCTGAGGTAATATAAGTTCAGTTCAGTTTGGTTTATACCGTGTGTAGGTTATTAAGGTATTCTGTTGCCCACAAAAAAGTATGATTAAAGCAAGAACGATGCTACCAACAATGCCTTAGATCATACGGGATTGGGTCAGAGTCTGTGACATCAGCCCATTATTTCGTAGTTAAACATGTGTACTTTGCCACAGGATACCTTTGCTTTTTAACGAACGTCTTCAAAAAGATAATAGGTGACATTATACGGCATGTTGTGATAGGTATTGATCTGTTTTATTTATCTCTCATTTTTTCACTTTTTTGTCATGATAAATAAAATTAGATGTTTGTATGCGAATTCAGTTGTATGAATATCCTCTATATGGTTGTTTTATATCTTTATGTATTTAAAAGCTGTCCAGAAATGCCTAATATAACCATTCAGGGATCATGTCTGCTTGTCTGTGTTGTACATGTAACAAATCCCTCAGGTAACATAGATCTGAATGTATTAATATGATGTTTATTGTGTTTTTGTACCCTGACCAGATTGGAATTATTCATGAACATTGGACAACTACAACAGAGTATTTTTCTGTTTGTCATATGCACTTTTCTGTCTTTTAATAGTATAAAATGTAGGTGCAACATATGAATATAACGATCACTGAAGAACACATTTTCGTTTCTTTTGTTCTATACACGTATACATATACAAGCATTACAAGGGGCGTAACTCTGCACACGAATTGCGGATAGAAAATGAAGAATCCTCAGTACAGTTACGTAAAATCGTAAGCAAGACAATATTCATTAACAGATGTAATTAAAGGATTGACATTAAATAAAATGAAGTAATTGTCTTGTCGGCTTAACCACTCAGTGATGAACATAAACTACCCCGTCGTATGCTGCAAGTGCAGATAATTGTGCATGTTTAAGCTGCTGACACTCGGTTGCCAAGGAGATATATTTCTAACTACCTGTTCAGAAACTTACAAACGAATAAGGATTATACTGTTGCCAAAATCCACGCTCTGTGGAGTGTAACAGTTTATCACCACGTCATAAAAGGTCTTTTTGATTCTTTTATTTGATAACCGAGTTTTCAATTGAATCGGTACAGACAGAAGCAGCAGCGTTTGATCATATACTCATGGCAACGAATAAGGAACACCTGAAAGATCATGTATACACAGTCAGCTACATGTTCAAGTTATATCTGGGTAAGCTGAATGTTCACTGCGAATGCTTACGAGAGTTAGTTTCTCTGTGTTTCCAAACCACGGTTACTCGTTCTTATATAACCATCAACTGGTTTTCCAGTGAATATAAACATTGAATGTCAGAACCCTTCTATCCCACAGAATTCAAAAGGTTTTAAAGATATGGACTTTTAATAACATTCATCCAACTGGTAACCAGAGTGTGTGTGCCTTTACACATGCACGTAATTTATACTTAAGGCTAAAGTGTGTCAAAAGCGCTGGTTGTAATAGGTTGTATGGAACATGGAATGTATGAACAACGAACTTCTGAAATGCAGTTGTCATGGTGAAACTGGAAAAAACTTTTGCTCCACGTATGCAAAGATGTTTGTGTACTATAATATTTAGGAAGTCTCACAATAAAATATCACACACACGTACACACGCACACACGCACACATGTGTTACTGAAGATCAATATTCTAACCCGGACCTTCACTGGTTAGGTCTAAGTAGTCAATGTTTGAGTACAATTCCAGACCACGATGTGTTAAAAAACAAAGGCGTCATATACGTTGTAAGTACGAGAACAGGTTTGGGTGTTCATGTGACCGTTAGTCGACAACTGGCAACCCGTTAGAAACAGATATGCATATTAATCATTCACACTGTTATTTCTTCAATTTACTGTGCACACATATCAAGTCCACGTTATCACAACCATGTGATGTAACGTTATTCTGTGGATTCCGATTTTCAGGGCCACAAAGTTGTTTAGTATCATCGCATCATACATACGGTCATGGGTATTTCGTTGTTGAAGTCTTTATTCTGCATAGTTTATGAGTGACTCCGCATGGTATTCCAGTTATTGCAAAATGAGTGCTCGCCTTGTCGAAATTACCACCCACGATATCCCACTCACAATGAGGGATATATCCAGGCGGAAATGTCACAATCGCGGTTGTGTTTTTGCACGCACAACCAGGAGTGCCATAAACAAGATTTCAAACTCTTGTAGATCCACCATTCAATATACAGGTAAGCTTCTGAAAAGCGTTTAAAACTTGATTCAACGTCGAAACATGAACAATTTGGTGCGTATTCGTAATAAAGAAACGAAAAGTTCATAATCATCAGAAGCAGAGTCCAGTGAACGAATCTAAAATAAGCAAGTGTTTGTGTATTCACCATCTAATAGTTATAACACAAGGTGCTTGTCTGAATGGCCTTACCCCTAAATTTCAATTGTATGTGTGAGGAAGGGTAGCAATTAATGTATTGTTTACACCTAGTACTATTTCTGACATTGTGTCTTGGTCGTTCAGGATATTAGGGCCACGTCTTGTTTCTTTACACTTGAGCAGAACATATATTCAGTGTGCAGTTCTCAGTATGGCTTTACGCCACTGTTTGCAATGTTCCAACAATATCATATGGGCTTCAAACATTGTGGTGGGGCATTGAACGCTGTAACCACTGGGCTATCCAACCTCTCCGGCATTTACATGCATGCCGTGATTACACTTGAAACAGAGTAATGTGCATAAATGACAGGATAAGATGGATGGTCAATAAATGCGTAGTGAGTGGTAGGTACACGATATTTTAAGGTTCGTGCTCCCATCACTGTTTGATCATAAACATGATGTTACTTGAGAAGAAAATTCAAATATCCTCCACGTACAGTATTATACGGGTAAGCAATACCCTTGGCAATATTCAACAAGAAATGCGAACAAACAATTACCAATAAGTTTCACTGAACTAAATGTCACTTCGGATTATTCACTCAGTGATGGAAAAAGTCATGTCGGGACCATGAAGTAACACAATAATCGCTATTAGGAGCTACTTACTAGCCATTAGCTATACTGAAGTACACTTTTTGATGATTACAAGCAAAAATCATCCATAGAACAGCGTTCCCGTGTTCAAATGTGTGTGTATCGCTGAAACGCTCACTAACACTAAGCATACAAGCAGTTTGATAAGACACCCTTGACGGCACGACCTGGCCTCAATATATTCACCACATATGACAACGGCTCGCCATTACACTTGCCACCCGAGTCTGTTGGATGTATGTTAAGCAGGAATTCAAACAAATGTTGGGGATATACAAAACTATAGCCGTCTTTCTCGGTACACTGTCGTCGTTGCATGCTGCAAGTACAGGTAATGTTTCCAGGTTTCTACAGGTAGATAGTGATGCTAAGTGGCACAAAGGTTTATCAAACAGAGTGTAATTTCTGGACTACCTTGATGTTTGTATTCGATAATCCGGATAACATCGGCACACAATCACTAACCATACGAACGGCATGCCTTGACAGCACAATCTATGAAAAATCTATGTCAAAATCTATATCTAAAGCATTGTGTTTAAGAATTAAATAGTGATGATATGTCTGCGAAAAATTGGTCCTAACCTGCCCACTAGTGGTTCCTAATGAAGACGTGCATGGGAATCGATAATTGCGAAACGACTCGGCAACCTACTTGCCACCTTATATCTTGGTTCTCTGATTGCTAGCTAGTTAAACAAGGCCACTCATTTGCCTTTGCTTTTAACATTTCAACCTTGATCATTGGTGTTGAAATAACCATACACTGAAAGAGTTTGTACAGAACACTAGAGCTTCCAGGGAGCATAAGAATTTGAATATAAGTCCCCATGGTTCCTAGTATGGTGATCTACCTTCAGTTGCTGGCGATCTATAGCCGGTTTTTATATTGTATTGCCCAAATAGTGCTATTAGTTTTAACTTTCCACGCTAGTTTTAATTCTAATTGTGATATTCTAGTTTTTTTACTGTCCTTCGTCGACAGGTTTTTATACCATACGTATATTCCATTTCAATGTCAAATGTGTTCTCGTCACGATAGGGGCGGTGGGGTAGCCTAGTGGTTAAAACGTTCGCTCGTCACGTCGAAGACCTGGGTTCGCATCCCCACATGGGTACAATGTGTGAAGCCCATTTCTGGTGTCCCCCGCCGTGAAATTGCTGGAATATTGCTAAAAGCGGCGTAAAACCAAACTCACTCACTCACTCACTCTCGTCACGATATGGCTGCAATATTGCCGATGTGACGTTAAATAATAACTCACTCACTCAGTCATAAGAATTTGAAGAGTGAAAGTCAGGGCATGACAAGGACACCGGATCAACGTTAGTTATTTAGAAATTATATTCAGGCATTTATCTGACCGAGAACTTGATTTGTTCATGTTAACGAATCCATGTTAATATATACTTGAGGCTAATCTGTGTGAAAAAGGGATGCTTTAGATGTAATTTAGCAACTTCAGGATAAAAGATTTTACATGAAGTTATATGACTCTGTTTTACATGGCATTGTTCTCTGGGTTTAAATGTATTTTAGTACTTTAAGATAAGAAATTAACATAAAGTTTATGTTTTACATGGCACTGTTTGGCTTTATGAAGTTACATTTTGAGGCATTGGGCGTGGGATGGGGATACGTGATGATGACTATACGTGCGGATTAACACGATACCTCAGGTGACAATGATTCCCCAGTGGGTTAAAGGGCAAGTGTACACGAAAATTAACCTTTTTGTCTTGCACATTTTCTTCATAAAAAGTGTTTATCAAGACGTTTTATATCCAAACCCGTACATATATGAGAAGTAACTAATTTATTATTTGCGTTATATCAATTCATATTTTCAACATTTACCGAGAGTTCTATGTCCACAATAAACACACCATGGCTTATGTCCCTTGGAAATGACGTCATTGGTGCCCAAACGATAAACGAATGACGTCGTCAGACCTTATTAGACCCATTTCACGTGGTGCAGGTAAAGGTGTGGTTCTTGTGTCTCGATGCGCAGGCTACTGTTTTAATCCACCTGCTGCTTGGCCGTCAGCTGACTATGTGGTCAGTTCTACACTGTAATGACGTTGCAGTTTGAAAAAAACGTATACATTGTACTAAAAGTGTTACCACGTAACCAAATTGTATAACATATTCAACCTGAGTCAGTCGCTTTTCCAACAGTATCTTTTTTCATGAAACCTAAAACGTATATGCACTACATCTTGCTTGCCATCGGTGAATGTGCCGGCATTCTACGTTTGTTACTAAACTTCTTACATAAATCGTATGATATGTCACTCCTCTTCCACCTAATTCACTTTGATATCGATAGTACATATCCAAATACATCACGCAGATAAATGCAATTTGTAGTTTTGAACACTGTTTGAAATTCGTTTTTCTATGATATCATCCGCTCATTGTAGATAAAATTTACTGAAAATTACATGCATCGTAAATCTCGCCAGTTTTGACACATTACTAAAGCACCATTCACTGCGTTTTGCGTAATTTATGGTATGTCTTAATTCAAATGTCAAATTTTACTGGGAGAATTGAATTTAAAAGAAAAAGACGTGATCATTGTGATCAGCGGTAGTTTTGTTGTTGTATGATCGAATCACCAATGCTCGTTCTGAAACATTATCAATGAACCGAGAATCGCTGAGAATGTTTTGGAAAATACGCAAACGTCAAAGTGAATTTTCAACCAAATTACATAGTGTTTATAAAATCACGTCACATGTATGTCGGTTATGTTTCGTCCATAAAATTCAACACCATCTTCCTGACACGAATCCCTGAATTCCTCACACAGTTCAAAATAAACTGACAAATGGACTTTGTCACCAATACAAAGTGTTTCAGTGAAATCTAACGAAATATATCGAGGATATGAGATGCCGCGCTGTGAAAGAATACTTGTTTGAAATGTATACAAAGCCAATCTCAGATTTTACACTGTGTATCCGTTCGCCTACTTGTTGCATACAATTGCTCATTAGTTTTAGAACATGCATGGGAAAGGTATCGTAGCAAGCGATAGTTAAATAAAACAGGTGTATTCCAATGATTTTCTAGATTCATCACAACATATTATAGTTTTTTGAAAGCATGACGCCATAACTGACGCAAACTCAAGCACAACGATGACGGTACTTCTCTTAATTTCTGACTATTTCCCTTGGTCACAATGAAAACAAAAAGAAAATAACAACCAGCAGACTGACAGAAGTTTCGGACTACTTACATGTCACATTTATGCATATACGTTGCTTGATACAACGAAAATTTCTTTCGAAAACTCCGGCGTACTCGTGTCAGTGAACACGCCATTTTGAAAAAGTCGCTTCCCGATAGTGATGTCATACGGACGTCAACATTGTTATACATATTTGGTATTTTCATTGAGGCGAGGTTATGAATGAAAATACACGCGATCAATCTGTCCTGCTGCTTACATTTTCTGCTCTTACGCTTCTTCGTATTTTCACAAACTTTTTTTCACGTGATTAATATCAGTATTATTATCTTTTGATTTGGGACTAGACAGTAGACCAGTTTAAAATCAAGTGGCACCAATTACGTCATAATCAAAGGGCGGTAACTCTGGCCTGTTTAGCTCGGCAAACAAATACCTCATATTGGCATAACATTTCAGCACTTATTTTGAGGGTTATACTTACATTGTAAAAAAAATGAGTATATTTTCAAACATTGGTATTAACTAATTAAAACAGTTCACTTTGATTCACATAAGAATAAATGTGATTTATTCGTGTACACTTCCCCTTTAAATATAGCATTCTTTCTGATGGTCTGAGCTTGAATCTTGGACAGCGGCCATGCAGGTTGGGTCTCTGAGGTCTCCAAGACACCGCGCCCGATTAGCCCCTGTTGTACTTGAACGTAATTAAAGTTTAGGTCTCAAATACAGAACCTACTTATAGACTTCTGTGATTGAACGATAGCTATATCGTCTCTTAGGTTTGGGATGGATTGTTTAAATATTTGAACATCTAAATATTTGAATATTTTCACCCATGGGATGCACATTGATATTTTTGAAATATTACATGTCAAAATTGTATTCTGATTTTCATCTAACCAAAAAAGTAGATTTTAAGAATGCGAGAACTACCTAAAAATGTAACAGCCATTTTTAGGCTCTGACAATTTCTTATGTAAAAACCATTTCAACTGCATGCATATGTGTGACATTGATTATCTTTTCAGACAGATGTTTCGAGGATATCACACTTACTGGGGATCCAGTAAACATAACATCTCCAGGATATCCTAAACCTTATGGCGCGTAAGCATTAATTGTTAAGATCAAATGTTTGTTTTTTCACTAGTGCAATGTGAAAATGGTTGCTAACATGGGTACGATCAATTACATAACACCACGTGCAGAGAAAGGCCTTATAAAGAGTCGTGATATGCTCAGGATAAGTGCTGCACTGCGGGGGGGAGGGAGGTAACACTCTTTAATTGACTCTAGATATACGATCTTGCCACGTTGTAAAATTTCAGCTAATAAACATTCCTACCATGATTACTGTTTATTTCAGAAACTTGACTTGTGGATGGAAGATACACACATCGTCACCTGACCGTCGCGTTGGCATTCACATTGCGTACTTTTCCTTGGAACCGTCCGTAAATTGCAAATATGACAATCTGTCTTTCTACGATGGTACGTATATCATTTGCAAATATTTATATCATTGTAGACGGCCCTGGTTAAAATTCAGGTTAGAAGAAGGCAATTGAATAATCAGCAATAACATTAAGATCCTTAGTATTGTCAACTGAATGCCAACTGAATTGAGATGTTATTTACACTTAGGCCCCTACCACCTACATGAGATGTACAAAACATTTCAAGAAGATAATACCTATACATGTAGATGTTGGTTAGATATAAAACATTCTTGCCGAGCCAAAATATGGACATATTAAGACATGTTCCTAATCGTGGATTATCATAAAGTAAATGATTTATACACATCGGGTCGAATGCAGCAAAATCTCTGCACAATTGCTGTCTTTCGTTTTCTAAAGATGGACAAATGATGTAACTCTTCTCCTTCGTCAGATACTTTACATTTTTTTCCCTTTGATCAAAGGTATATTTATCTACCTCCCAGTTTGAACAGTTGTTATCAAACTATGCATTGCTTTGTGAGGACTCTATCGCTCGCACTTATCCAACAATGTAGGTTAATGGTTGGAAAGTAGGGTTGGTGAATTGTGTTCTTCAAAAGTTTGATACTTGTAGTCTATTTATCTTTACACTTACTTTCCAAATACATTGTAGGTTGTCCAAGGAAGGTTAATTTACATGATTTCCTGGAAGAAAAGGGGACATCCCATTCTCAAATTTAATAGGCACAGTCTTCCAAGTTCCCTATATACCAAGAAACAAGAGGTCCAGGGCTTGAGCAATAGTCATTGTCCGTTATCTCACTATCTGTCACGGTACAAATCGTGAGCACTCGACCCCCACTGTAGTTACTTCTTATGAGACGCATTGTCATTGTCCTGATTCTGACCGGAGTCCCAAAGTGTAACGATGAGAATTAGGCGGTTTGGATTATCTTGTGTATCATATACAGGCTGTGCAGATTATGTATGTTTTAATCTTTTGTCTTTATCTATTATTAAACTGAATTACATTAAATAATCAATGTCCCATAGCGCATGGAGTAATTGCAATAACATGAAAACGTGTCTGACGATATCTGTCATTAAAATGTTTGCAATTGTGATATTTTTGTCACCAGGACCAGAGAAATCCAATGTATCCATGTTCACATTTTGTGGCAAAGAATCAACCCCCAGCAGCTTCCTCAGCACCAGAGATAGCATGTACATAGAGTTTATCTCTGATTCTTTCGTGAATGCTGCAGGGTTTCGCATCAACGTTATGGATATTGAAAGTAAGTAAAACCCTTCTTTTTAGCGAATTCTACCGAACAGATCTTGACACAAACGCTATGACTGATTTTGAAAATGAATTCTTTACCTGTCATGCCCTAGAAGAATATACAGAAGAACATTTATGCATACACTCCTCTGTTCATAATATATGACCACTGTCACACATGGAAAATATAACAAAGTTGCCAAAATTCTGCAAGACCCTGAGCTTTGAAAATGTGCTTCGTGATTCTAATAGAAATATGTACATCATCTCGAAATACAAGAATGTTCAGATACTCAAATGCATTTCAGCTTGATGCAGCTCATAAAGGATTAACACCATGTGTAAAGCATAAAATATATTTTAAGACTCTAGGAAATTGTCGGATTTGTATTTAGTGTAAAAGCAATAACCTTTCGTTTATATTACAATTGTTTTTATCTGCGTTAACTGTTCGCCAACACCAATACCTATTGATACTCAAAGTATTGAAAAACATGAAAACCTTATTGACAGTTTACCCAATGTGTGAAAACTATTGTAGAATGCGGCGGAACGTTGACAGCAACATCACAACAACAACACCTCAATTCCCCGGGGTATCCTTACACCTACTTCAAGTAAGTTGATGTTATTTCACTACAAAGTGGTTGAAATCGGTCATTTCTTCAGCTGGTAACGTCTCAATTCACGCATTCATGAATGCTATAATCTTACGTTTGTAAGGTATAGACGTTATTGATGTGAACTTTTTAAGGTCATCAAGGAGTTCGAATATACCAGGAAACCTTACGTTCCTTACAATTAAGTTGACACACGTAAATTGTCTCCGTTATATGTATCACTCCTGAATGCACATTCTGTTACCTATAATTTAGACATGCTCAGATCTTTAACACAATTCTGGCACGAGTTTTGTCCTATGCTTTGCACAAAACATTAAAACAATATTTATTCGTACTTGTTTACACTTTATTTATACAAGTAATATTTTAAACAATCGCAAATGTAATTAGCTGTGACATACTGTCTCTTGTGTTTGCTAATGTTCATATCCAATTCCATAACGTTAATAGTGATTCAGAAGACTCAACAAAGAGGCATGGTATTGTGTTTTCAGTAACCTTCGCTGCACGTGGATCATTACTGCAGAAAATGAATCCGAGACAGTTGGACTGAGAATTCTACGGTCAGAAATTGAGATAGCAGCCTCTGCCTCAAATATGTGCCGTTATGATGTCCTTCGTGTTTATAACGGAAACACGACTGAAGGTACCTACTGCCTTTTGGTACTGACGGTAGGAAAGACGACCGCCCAAGTCGGTGTCATTGAGGGAGTTCATCATTTACTGGCACCACGCATGATATCACCTGATCAATCACGTACACGCCTAATAAAGCGAACTTTAAGCAAAACTAGGATTGTTATATCTTACACTCGCATCCTAGTACATGGACGTGCCATGTACAACAGCATGCGAAACCGTTTCACCTTAGTAATGCCATTGGGATTTAGTGTCAGGCAGGGCTCTAGCATGGGCCTTTTGAAAAAATCTGCTCACAGATGCCAGATTGAGACCTGTTTGCTTTCGTAATATCTTCAGCTGAATTATGTCTCCCAGGTGCGATTATCTTTAGCTGGGAAAACCATTTGTGGGATGTTAAGCATTATTCACTCATTCATAAACTCACGACGTTGTGTATGGCTGCTGAATGTAGGATATTTTCAGTTCCAATATAATAACTCCATTAGCACAAACCTTAATATTTACCCTAAGACGCAATTTTCTCTGTTACGGAACCAAATCAATTCAAGACCTGTTCGAAAAGTCCGAAAATGTTTCAAATGATTTTTGTGTACACTGACGACAAAGTTACTGACACTGTCGGGTACTGGGCAGTACTACATGCATGCCCTCCTTCTCTACAGGTTTCAAATGTGTGTGGAATATGAAAACATTGGTGCAGTTAAGGTTGCTGATAGCAAATGTATTTCTATTAATACATGTTTGAATATTGGTATAATATTTATATAATAATGATAATGATACATAATATAATGAGGTTGACTGATTCAGAAATGATTTTTTTATTCCAGCTGATCACTATCTAGGGCAATCCTGTTCGAACCAGATCCCCAGATACCAGAGTTCGAAGAATTCGCTGGTAGTACAGTTTATCACCGACACTAGCACAACTAAGCAAGGCTTCAGGTTACAATATACTGCACGAAAAGGTATTTCTTTTAAGGCTTGCAGTTAGATTACCAATGTGTTGGTAATATTCAATTCAATGCAAGGTTTAGTACGCGATCCCATTTATCCAGATTTAACTGTGTGGTATTGGCAGAATCACACACGACAGTCTCGGCACTGAGTACTTACATCAAACCACAGATAACTCTACACATTCGTCTGTACGTCTTCGACGTAAGTCTGTACATGTATTACATTATCAGAATACTTTGTTTCTATGAGTTTCAAAGGTTTATGCATCATGACAGATCTGAACATGAGGACAAGTCATAGTTAAGATAATAGCGACACAAATCTAAGAAACGATGTAAATATCAACTTCACAATTGTATACACGTGGTAAGACAACTTTTTAAGTATCTATACATATGATCCGAACTTCTCCTATTGATAGTATTTATGTTGAAGCTGACGAGCCTTCTCTCAAGCAACGCCGTATCAAACTGTCTTTGCAGTATATTACTAAACTATCTTCTAATCAGTCCAACCCTGCATATAACTGTGTCTTCCATCCTCTCTATGAGGATCTGTACAACAAAAAGTCTTCTCTTGTTCCGCCTCTTGGGCACAGAATTAAACCATTCATTGCTGCTGCCGGCATTGAGCTGGAAAATATAGCCCCTTCCCGTTTGCTTTCTTCTCCTCCTTGGCAAATGGTGAGGCCAGATGTTGACTTAACATTAAGCACATTTAAAAAATCCGAAACTAATGATTTACAGTATAAACAAGAATTTAGTCAATTAAGAAATAAATATAATACATATAAATCCTTATTTACGGATGGATCCAAAGATGGTGGCGCGGTGGCTTGTGCTACTGTCATTGGGTCCAAAACAATATCTTCTCGGCTACCAACTAACAGTTCTATTTTCACAGCAGAAGCTAACGCCATATTAACAGCTCTTAAATATATAAATAAACACCGTAAATATAAACAATACATCATCTTTTCTGACTCTCTTTCTTGCCTTCAGGCTATTAAAAATCTTTCTTGCAATCATCCACTTTTATTAGAAATTCTTGAATTGTTTAATGAGCTTGCTACTGGCCAATGCGACATCGTCTTTTGTTGGGTACCCGGCCACGTTGGCATTTCTGGGAACACAATGGCTGATATTGCTGCTAAGGCAGCACTCAACAAATCTGTGACACCACTTCTTATTCCATACTCTGATTACAAAGCTAGCATTAGAACTTACATCCGTGATCTGCTGCAAAAGAAGTGGGACACCCAAGCAGGTATTAATAAATTACATGCAATAAAACCCTATATCGGATACACTTACTTGGGTTGTCAGTCCAGATTTGAAGAGGTCATCATACGACGATGTCGTATTGGCCACACAAGATATACTCATGAGTACCTATTGAAAGGTGAGGATCCTCCGTTTTGTATCCCTTGTGATGAACAAATCACAGTCAAGCATGTCTTGCTTGACTGTGTTGAGTATTCCATCACAAGGGATATCTATTTCAAATCACGAACGATGAAGGATCTTTTAATAATATCAGTTCTCATTTAGTTATTGCGTTTTTAAAAGAATTAGATTTGTTGAATGAATTGTAAATAGATAAGTATTTTATAATTGGTAGTTTAATTGAGCAGCTGAGATTGTTAGTGGCTGTATCCTCACAGGGGTTGAAGCACTGTAAAATTATTGTCCTCCTGTGGGGGGTACGTAAGTCCCCAAACATTCAGACTAAATTTAAATATACCATTAGTTTTAATCGTAGAATATGTGTTATTTTAACTTATGGCTAATTTGTCAAAACTTGCTGACGGCTGAAGGGATGGTGTAAATCCAGCTAGGGTCCATGCAGGAAGCAAATGTACTGTAAGTCCCCATGGTCCCTAGTATGGTGATCTACCTTCAGTTGTTTGCGATCTATAGCCCATTTTTATATTGTGTTGTCCCCTATAGTTAAAATGTTTTAGATTCAATTACTAGTTTTACATATATATCTGTGATAATCTAGTTATTTTACTGTCCTTCGTTGGCAGAATTTTATAACTTCACTTAAATTGTTGATATATTTATAACTTGCTTTAGTCACGATATGGCTGAAATATTGCTGATGTGACTAAAAATCTTAACTCACTCACTCACTCTATACATATGATGTCAATAATATTCTGAACTTCCTGACACTATATGTAGAACTAATCGATGATGTGTGAGACGACAAGGCGCCAGAACCTGATAGCGTCACACCTAAGATAATTAAATGTTGTAATGATGGACTTTCACCATTTGCCATTGTTTTTGTAAATATAATTTCTGTATAGCTGATCCTTTCCTGTGGAATGGGTAAAAGGTTTACTAAAACTATATACAACGAAGAGGGGAAGCAATCAGAGATTAATAACTACAGGGATGTTACCATAGGTGATGTTACGCAGAAAATATTTGATACAAATGATATGGAATATATTATATTGAATACCGGATTAACTACGTTTTACTGTATATGAGATGCAGTTTCAGATTCGCAGGTAGGATTTAGTTACACCTCTGTCTTTTGCTGGTTATATCTTTCACGTTTGTCTTGTTTCACAAACAGTGCATTTGTGTAATGGGCTGTGGTGACAACATAATTAAAAATGTGGAATTAATTAAAATAATTTGACATTTTCAGTTGGAGACTGCAATAATACGTATCCCGTGTATTTCTCACCCCTGGTCATTGTGTCACCTGGATATCCCGACTCTTATGAAAGGTATGTTAAATGTACTGTAAAATCATGTCTATCCGCATGCCGCCGCTCAAAGCTAATACACATGGAGGATAACGAATCAAAGCAAGCTGTACTACATTTTAATAGGTCACAAAGGAACAAGATAGGTCCTGATTAACAGGGTTTTATTGTGTAATGCAGTTATGCATGGTCGTCTAAGTTTCTTATGATGTTACTCACCTGCTCATCCAAAGAGTATTTAAAGAACGTATTTGTATATGACTGGGATGCCTTATTGCAAGCAATGGGCCGAATCGTATCATCCCAGCATATGCACTAATCTTATCAGCATTACTTTGGTAAGAGTCAATAGCCTCATGTTATACCGAGACTATTTATTATAAAAATTGATTTTTCTTGCGCGTTACAGATAATTCCGTGATGCGTGTTTTTAGCTTTAAATTACCTGGTACTTTCTGACTTATCGTGGGTTTCTCCCTTATTGAGCTGAATATCGAGGAATTGGAAACCAAATAGTTTCAGTGGATTTAAGGACCAAGAGCATATCATGGAAAACATATCAAACACTCAATGGATATGTTCGAATTTTAGGTATCACAGAAATATTGTACACCTCTATCCGAAATGAAATACTTATGAAAAGTATCCATGTGGTATTTGTAACTGAAGATGGTGTTCGTAAATATACTATGTATACTTCTATCTTCAATGATTCAGGACACTGACTGAAAGCAGAAGTCTGACAAACAGAACGCGAAATTCCTCATGTATAGCATCCATTTGAAATTTAAGAATTTATCTCGATATAATGTAAACTTTAGATATATCGAAGATTTGAAACTATTCAATAACAGTACAATACCCGATTTTCGTCCAGTGAATTACTTCACAATAGCATGGGAAAACGCCTGAAATCCGATATGGTTTACAGCTGTGAAAAATGATTGGAATGGTCACTTTTATGTCCTTGCCAATGCACGCTGTTTCTTACTGAAAATCTGTTACACACTTGCCCTGTTGCAAAATACTTATCACAGTTGTAAAATGTTCAGACAACACAATGTATATAATGATTAAAATTGTTTCAGTAACTTGGAATGCTTCATAACATTGGCCGATATATCACATTCAACGCCACGAAACTTGAAACTAGACATCGTCCACTCGGATTTAGACGGCGCCTACCCACACTGCGAAAATGACTCGGTTACTCTTTATCAAGGTTTGTGAGTAATGTTCAAAACCATGGAACAAGACCTACGCGTTGTCTACTCGGTGCAAAAGACGTTCATTGTAGCCAGGACAATCCCAAATCTTTCTCTATAGGGAAATACAAACTGACTGACCATGTGTTGAGACTTGTTAGGAAAATGACTTGGCAAAGGAAAGTGAATCTCGATAGATAATTACCGAGAAAGTGCATAACAAACTTCGACCTGTTCTTTACTGTTCTGACGCCCCTTAAAATAACTGAAATTCTGTTCAAAGCAGCGTTTGACCCGACGTACTCTGTCTAGTTTATGAATTGTGAATCGTTGTAGATTTGCAAAACTCAAAGTAAAATTCAAGTGTGAACAAAAGTAGAGGTTAAAGCTTTGTTCTGTATTTATTTGTGGGGCGTCTAAACGTATGTTTTGAATGTAGGTCAGAGAGGGAGCCGCATTGGAGAGGTTTGTGGTGATTCTTCAACAACTCCAGTGGGTCCGTACTACTCCAACGGAATGATAATGAAAATGGTGTTCAAAACCAACGGTGACACAAGTGGTCGGGGCTTCCGACTCCGTGCTTCACACAGCATACGGAAAGGTATGTGAAAGAGCTGCAGAAGTATACACTAAGACGAAAGTTGAATAACGTATATAATATTCGAATGTTAGGACACCGTGTCGTGTTCTGCAAACGGCAACATGAAGTTAGAAACGGATTCGGGATTCGGGATTCGAATGCATGCATATTTTTTCATATTCGGGATTCGAATCCCGAATCTGATTCTTTTTCAGATTCTGGGTTTTTCTTTTGCAGATTCGGCACTCGGCATTCGGTATTTGGTATTTGAGCTCTTATTATGCATTTCCTTTACACATTTGGAATTCGGAACTTCAGTGTCCTTGTAACTATATTCTTTGCACCTTTATCTGTCAAACGTATCTATCCTCGACGTTGCCGTGCACCCTCGGAGATAGTCAACGGTCCTGAAGCTCTTCCCTGCTTGCAAGCGTCAAATAAGCAGATTCGGGATTCGAATCCCCAACCAAGAATCCTGAAACCGTTTCTAACTTCATGTTGCTCGCAGTTACGTAGCCTTCAGAAATAATATGATTGATGTCGTCAATGTTGCAGTCGAACCACCTCAGTCAGGAAACTGTGGTTCTCTGTTCCTTAATGCGACCACAAATCGACAGTTCTTACAGTCCCCTGGATACCCTGTACGATATCAAAAGTAAGTATTCACTTAGTACCTGTGTGTTTACATGTGTATACATCAGCGATTAACTTTCGTAGATCTACACTGCCCATTATTCAGTGACATAGCTATATTTTCCATTATGTGATTATTTAAAATGAAATCATGGAATAGATAATAAAGGTAGAGCTCAGTCTCCATTTACATGGCGATACTACTGAGATGAATTCTTCTTACAGCAAGGAAGATTGTCGGTGGACAATAACGGCTTCTAGTCCAAATATGATGTTGCGCATCGAAGTTATCGACTCGGATATATACTCTAATGATAGAAGTTACGTAACCTGCAGATATGACCATGTTACGGCTTATGACGGTGAGTTATATGCAGTCTCTACTTCCGTAATGAAATGATAACGACCAAGACCAATGTATTGATCCATTGCCTTAATATTCTTTACAACAATCAAGGGATCAAGCACATTTTGGCATATTCCTGTGGAGTGAAGACTGATCACACAATGTCTGTATGTCCTTGATCTAGCTACGTGACCGTGGTCTGTAAATAATCGAGCCTGGACCGCACAAAAAAGGTTATTGACTCTATGGGAACCGAGCTACGTTACTGCGTTACGTAACGTTATGTAACGTTAAGTGTCAAGAAAGTCAGCGAGCGAGACCACCCTCTCTTAACTGGCAAGAGTTGCTGATAATCAAGTTTCGTTTTGCTCAAGCTGTCATAAGCATATATGTCCACCACAAGGACTAACGATTTCAAACAGAATAGAATAAGTTTCATTTTGTTATATATATCAAAGGAAATGCATTGATACATTTTGATAATAGTGTGTATTGTAATAAGTTAGTGATTTTGATTAGGTAATGGCTGTACCCCCGAAGGGGGCCAAATTAGCGGAGTTACTTAAGTCCTTGTCATTCAAAGTATTTAATATGTTGAACATAACGTGAATCGAAGAATATTTGATATTTTAACGTTCGGCTAAATTTAACCTGCCCGCTCAAATAGCGAAGGTACTGTAAGTCCACATGGTCGCTGGTATGATGGACCACTTTCAGTTGCTGGTGGTCTATAGCCTGTCTTTATACAGTGCTGTTCTGACATCTTTTGAGGACAATTTGCTAGTTTTCTGAGTTTGATACACCAGTTGCTTCAGTGTCTATTGTCAACAGGTTTTCCTTGTCTAAATATATTCAAATTAATGTATAATTGTTCTTGCTATGATATGACTAAAATATAACAATACACCCTAAATATTCACATATTCTTGTCACTCACTCTAAAACCAAACGATGATGGTTCTTGACATTGTGGAAATGTAAACGAGAGAAAACATCCGATAGTTAGTACCTCTTTCCACTGATACACGTCATTATTACCCACGTGGTCAACGTATGGGTAGTTGCATACTAATCTCGTACGTCACACAGTGTCGTATCGCATTGACATGTGTCGTAACGACTTGACCTGAGATTGTAACGATTTGATCTCAGTTAGTCACATTGTGGCAATTCATTAATTCTACAACTTATATGCATTGTGAGAATGTAAACATTGCGAATGTAAACAGTTCCGTGTCGCTGTTTAATTGTGAGTCGAACTGAGACATTATATCCGTGGAAAAAACATATACGCAATGTTTCCACCAGTGATGTTAGCCGAGTGAAGCAACTGCAAACTAAGAAACGGGGTACTACGGAGTAGTTTACTGTAGGAGGCTCTTCGAGGCGACGACAACTGACATGCATCGTGACGTCGGTCACCAAGGGGACAGACGAGAAATGGCGTAGATCTGACGTCATCACAGTGTCTACAGTACAAAATTCTTCCGCAACCACTTTATGAAACTGGTTTCGATTTGAAACCTTAAAAAGTATGCTTTTTTATCAATTTAATGTATGTAAGACGTGGGTAATAAATCAAATACCACACTCGGTGTCATTACATACAAATTATACGAAATTCGTGACCTTCTTATGGTATCTGACCTCGGTTTTGCTCGGTCAGATGCGATAGGAAGGACAAACGTTTCGTGTAATTCTATGTAATGAGACCGAATGTAGTATTCTCTATATACTTTATTCCTTTCTATTCACTCTATTCAGAAACATGAGAACTCTATGCAGTGTATGGAAAGGTCCATTTTCATAAAGAGCTATAATTTATGATCTTGGAAACTACACTAAACGATCTTAAGGACAGTGGCTATGGGTAAATTAAATTCCACACAGGAAATGTTTACTGATTGCAACGTATGATCAATGTGAAAAGAAAACAAAGTTTAACGCATTTCAAATATTCCACCAAATCGCTCTCATAGATTTACCATAATGCTTTCCATGCAGTATTAGGACAAGTTGAATTTATACTTTTTTATACTAAAAAGAGCAAAATATTTCTTTGAAATTTGGCAACCTTGGAACAAGAAATCATATTTTTAAAATATTTTTCACTTGGTACACCACAATCCCAATCACCAACTGATTTATTAAAATGAAAGCAATGTCATTTGAAGTTCACTTTGAAAGCAATTACCAGAAAAATAAGCATTCATAAACCGACCCACAGTCTTATAAATTTGAACATGTACTGGTGCTGAAAATGTGCAGATAGATCAAAGGTAACATGTGTGTTATTTAGAATGGCATAATCTTCTTCTTTGTCCCTGTAATTTAGATTCGTAAGATTATTTACTACGCAGTAAATTTGAAATTATCTGTTTGATTGGCATTTAGAAGTTTGTGACTAATATTCATATCTGTGATACTCTAATATTTTTACTCTTCAAAATGTTTTCATCTTTATTGTATAAATTGTTTTCGTCACGATATGGCTGAGATATTGCCGATGTGACTTTAAATATTAACTCACTCCCTCCCTCTTGGTTTCCACAAAATGATTGACGATCTATATCAGCCCGGATGTTCCTCCTAACATTATGCCCACATATCTCAGTCACGCATTTGTACTTTCCCGCCGTCGCTTATGCAATATCATCATACTTATTCTTTCCAGGACCATCAATCTTTAATGACACATTATCATCATGGTGCGGCCCTTCACGACCGACCTTTCAGAGCACTGGATCAGCTGTGACAATTCACTTCCATACAGATACATCAACAGCTAAAAGAGGCTTCAAGTTGGCATACTTTGAAACGAATGGTATTCCCTTCTTTACAGTTATCCACTTTCCCCTAAGTGACGTAAACAAAATGTCTATTAACACACATAAATTACGAAAATGTGAGAGATGTTAAGAGTCAGGGTCACGTTTGAATAGCGTTCTGAACAGCTGACAAAGGTTCCTTCAAAAATTCTGATCGTCATAGGTTCGAATTCCAAATTACCCCGTATTTCGAATATTGGTTTGTCAGAACCAATGGATTCAGAAACTCTTTACCACCTGTGTCGACCTCTCTTTAACAAAATGACACGCTAATATATTGCTGAAATAATGTCTTTTTCAGAACCATACCATTGTGGGGGAACTCTGAATATCACTACGACTGACTTCACAACCTTAACATCGCCTACCACCTCCTCGTGGTGGGTGCTGGGTCACGCTAAGCGCCCTTCAACCCCCGTTGTGGACCCGGGGGATTTTTTGGTCCACCAACCCGTTTGCCGTGGGTTGCGCCCCTGTGTCGGTGGAGGAAGGTAGTCTGGTGGTTGAGGGCACTGGTTCCAGGAACAGTGTTCCTCTGCCCAACACACCACTTCGGCCCTGACTTCACCTAGACGGGAGGTAGAACTGGCCCGGTTCTATCAATCGGCTGGTCACGCCAAGCCCTGTGCATTGATTATATGTAATTGCACAAAATTTGATTTGGAATTGTTGAAATTTCGGTCTTGGCAGCCTTTGTTCCTTTACACTAATTTTGGAATATGTTTATCATGAACTTTGCCTAGAGTCTCAATGCCCAGAAGGCGGTGGCTCATGGGCCAATCTGGTGGGATTTATCTTTTCAAGATTTTTTCTGCTTGAGTATACCCTCCTAGTATCCTTGGTGCCGTCTGCTGGAGATCCACAGACATTGAGGCATCGTCCTTGTTGACACTCCATGGTGGGTGGGGAGCTAGGAGGACGAATCATATATATTTCTATCATGGCACCCCCACTCAAAAAAAACGCTCACACGAATCTGACGATTCGTTGTCTTCAGATGATGACGGTCAAGCAATCTCTAACAATCCGGATAATTGGCCTCGTTTTCTAGTTATGTGTGATCCTGACGGTGGCTCTTTAAAATTGAATCCCTTTGCTGTATCAAAGGGCATTGAAGGTTTGGCCGGAGACGTAAAGGAAATAAAAAAGTTGAGATCTGGTTCCTTGCTAATCGAGTGCAGGAAACAAATACAGTCAAATATTCTGCTCAAAACAAAGTCTTTAGCAAATGTTCCTGTGGAGGTGTCCCCTCACAGGACGCTAAATAGCAGCAAGGGCATCGTCCGGGATACTGGACGTTGCCTTTCAGACATGAGCGAAATTGATATCATGACTGAACTGCACTCCCAAGGTGTAAGTCAGGTCAAACGCTTTACAGTCAAAAAAGAATAACGAAGTTATCAAAACTAACACTTACCTATTTACATTTTGTTTGCCAGTTCACCCACAATCTCTGAAAGCAGGTTATTGCAACTTGAGGGTGGAGACTTTTATCCCCAACCCCTTAAGGTGTTACACTTGTCAGAAGTATGGTCACGGGGCCAAGTCTTGCAACAATCCAGCTGCATGTCATCGATGTGCGGGAACATGCGAGGACAGTAGTCTTTGTGACAAAACACCTGTTTGTGTCAACTGCGCGGGTTGCCATCCTTCTTCATCCAAGGAATGTCCTTCCTGGAAGTTGCAATCAAGAATTTCGCGAGTAAAGCATGAGCGAAACGTGTCATTCTTTGAAGCAAAACAGATTGTTCTTACACGAGAACAATCAGGTCCGAGTTATGCTGCCACTGTTTCTGCTTCTGTTCAGGCTTCTACATCAAAACATGTCTCATGTACTTCAGTTGGTTGCCAAACCGACTATACGTGGGCTAGGACTTCTGCCCCAACCTTGATAACTTCCGAAATTCAAGCGAGACCTCCAAAGGTGACTTCCAGTGTTCAAACCACACCTCCACAAACCATCATTCAGTCAAAGGCGTCTTCTGAGAAGGACAAATCCTTATCTCAGAACCAACCATCTAAATCATCTGACACAAGTGCGAAAGCGACTGTGAAAAATCCATCCAAACCTAACTATGAAAACAAAAAGAGTCAAAGCAACAGACCCCGAAAGGGGTCAAATAACCAGGTCCAAATTTATAATAAGTTTGGATCCCTTGAGGACATGGATGTGTCCGACCAGAGCCATGGTAGGACTCATAGCTTGTCACCCTCAAGGAAGGTAAGGGGTAGATCTCCCGTTCATCCTCCGAAGAAATAATGTCTTCACCTATAATTCAATGGAATTGTAGAGGACTCCGGAATAATTTAAATGATTTACATCTGTTAAACCAAGATTTTACACCTTCAGCGTTCTGCATCCAAGAAACGTATCTGAAACAAACAGATAACTTTGACTTCCGTCATTTCAATGCATATCACTGTTTTTCTCCTCCGGGTGATAGAGCTTCTGGTGGATCATCCATCCTGGTGAGGAACACTGTGATCCATAGCCCAGTTCCACTTAAAACAAATCTTCAAGTCGTTGCAGTTCGACTTACATTACAGGTTGCTTTTACTTTATGCTCTTTGTACATTCCACCTTCATCGGCTGTACAACTAACCGATCTGCAAGCTCTTTATGATCAATTACCTAAACCCTGTATAATCATGGGTGATTTAAATGGCCACAACCCGCTCTGGGGTGGCACTCATACAAACACCAAAGGTAAATTACTTGAGGAATTTATTTCCAATAATGATTTATGCATTTATAATGACGGCTCAAATACGTATTTACATCCTGGCACAGGAACATATTCAGCTCTTGATTTGTCTATTACTGACCCCAACCTATTGAGTGAATTCGAATGGTCAGTCCACGATGACCTCTGTGGAAGTGACCATTTCCCAACAATACTGAAACCTGTGAATCCATCTGATGTTCTTCCTTCATCAAGATGGAATTTTAAAAGGCTAACTGGCCTTTATATGAAAATCTTTGTACTGACAAACTCAAACCTGAACTTTTCAATGACATTCCTGATGCCATACAATGTTTTTCAGATGAACTAAATAACATAGCTGATGAGTGTATCCCAAAGTCCTCTGCAATTCCTCACGTACGAAAACCATGGTTTACCAATGACTGCAAACAGGCTAGGAAGGCACGGAAGAAAGCCGAGCACTATTTCCGTCGCCATCCTATGGTCCACAATTTGGACAAATATAAAATTTTAAACGCCAAAGCACGACGTACTTTTAAGCAAAGTAAACGCCTATCTTGGCGAAATTATATATCAAAAATTAATTCTCGCACACCTATATCCAAGGTGTGGAATATGATCCAGAAAATCAAGGGTAAGGGCTCTAAGTCTAGCATTCACCATCTCAAAGATGGAAACGAATTACTTACTAATAAATCTGATATTGCTAATAAACTTGGTGAGACGTTGGTTAAACATTCTTCCTCATCTAATTATGTACCTGAATTCCAAAAATATCAAAAACAGCAAGAAAAGAAAGCTATTAATTTTAATTCTGATAATGGGGAAGACTACAATGAGACCTTTTCGATACATGAGCTACATACTGCTCTTGATCAGGCTCATGATACTGCTTCAGGGGCTGATAACATACATTATCAACTCCTGAAGCACTTACCTGAATCATGTTTAGAGACGCTCTTACACATTTTTGACGACATTTGGACATCTGGAAATTTTCCTTCGTCGTGGCGGGATGCTATTATTGTTCCCATACCTAAACCTGGACGGGATCATACAGATCCCTCAAATTATAGACCAATTTCACTCACTAGTTGCGTTTGCAAAACCATGGAACGCATGATCAACAATCGACTTGTTTGGTACTTGGAAACCAATAACCTTATAACTAATATACAATGTGGTTTCCGTAAAAACCGTAGTACCATCGACCATTTAGTGCGTTTAGAATCTTTTGTAAAAAATGCCATAATTAATAAACAACATGCAGTGTCAATCTTTTTTGATTTAGAAAAAGCATATGACACTACATGGAAACATGGTATTTTAAGAGATTTACACGATTTTGGATTGAGAGGCCGTTTGCCTCAATTTATATCCAAGTTTTTAGCTGACAGGCAATTTCAAGTCCGCGTGGGTTCTACCCTGTCTGACCATTATAATCAGGATCAGGGTGTCCCACAAGGCAGTATTTTGTCTGTCACACTTTTAGCATCAAAATTAACAGTTTATCCAAGGTTTTAAATGATTCAATAGATGGATCACTTTTTGTGGATGATTTTAATATTTCTTGTCGTGGTAAGAATATGCATACTATTGAACGGCAACTGCAGCTGTGTTTAAATAAAATACATAAATGGTGTCTTGAAAACGGTTTTAAATTTTCCAAGTCAAAAACTAATTGTCTACACTTTTGTAGAAAATATAAGCCGCATAAAGACCCGGAACTATCTCTAAATGGCACTCCTATCAAAGTTGTGAAGGAGGCCAAGTTCTTGGGTATTATTTTTGACTCACACTTAACGTTTCTACCACATATTAAAGCACTTAAAACTAAATGCCTGAAGGCACTTGACTTGTTGAAAGTCGTTTCCAATTCTAAGTGGGGAGGGGATCAAGCTACCCTCCTCCAACTATATCGATCATTGGTCCGCTCGAAACTTGATTATGGATCCATCGTATATGGTGGAGCCTGCAAAAGCAACCTAAAACTACTGGATTCTGTCCACCACCAAGGCCTAAGACTTTGTCTTGGGTCCTTTAGAACCTCTCCTATTGACAGTCTATATGTTGAAGCAGATGAGCCCTCTCTAACACAACGTCGTATCAAATTATCTTTACAATACATAACTAAACTATATTCTAGCGAGTCTAACCCTGCATTTAACTGTGTCTTTAATCCCCTCTACGAGGATTTATACAACAAAAAACCGTCTCTTGTTCCGCCTCTTGGGCACAGAATTAAGCCCTTCATTTCTGCTGCCGGCATTGAGCTGGAAAATATATCTCCTTCCCGTCTTCTTTCTTCTCCTCCTTGGCAATTGGTGAGGCCTGAAGTTGACCTTACTCTGACAAAGTTTAAGAAATCTGTAACTAATGAATTACAATATAAACAAGAATATAATCAATTAAAAAATAAATATAATACATACAAATCCTTATTTACAGATGGGTCCAAGGATGGTGGCGCGGTGGCATGTGCCACTGTCATTGGATCCCGAACAATCTCCTCTCGTTTACCAGATAACAGCTCTATTTTTACAGCTGAAGCAAACGCCATATTAACAGCCTTAAAGTATATTAAAAAACACACTAAATATCGACAATATATCATCTTTTCTGACTCTCTTTCTTGCCTTCAGGCTATTAAAAATATTTCTTGTAAACATCCACTTTTATTAGAAATTATTGAATTATATAATGAGCTTGCTACTGGCCAATGCGACATCGTCTTTTGTTGGTTACCCAGCCATGTTGGCATTTCTGGGAATACAATGGCCGATCTTGCTGCCAAGGCAGCACTCAACAAATCTGTGACACCACTTCTTATCCCATACTCTGATTACAAAGCTGCTATAAGATCTTATATCCGTGATCTGATGCAAAAGAAGTGGGACACCCAAGTAGGTATCAATAAATTACATGCAATAAAACCCTATATCGGTTACACTTACTTGGGTTGTCAGTCCAGATTTGAAGAGGTCATTATGCGACGATGTCGTATTGGCCATACTAGATATACGCATGAGTACCTATTAAAAGGTGAGGATCCTCCGTTTTGTATCCCTTGTGATGAACGAATCACGGTCAAGCATGTCTTGCTTGACTGTGTTGAGTACTCCATCACAAGGGATATCTATTTCAAATCCCGAACTATGAAGGATCTTTTTACTAATATAAGTCCTCATTTAATTATTGCTTTTTTAAAAGAATTAACTTTGTTAACCGATTTGTAAATAGCTAAATATTTTATGATTGAAAGTTTGAATTAGTAACATAGATTGTTAGTGGCTGTATCCTCGAGGGGGGTTAAAGTACTGTAAAATTATTGTCCTCCTGAGAGGGTACGTAAGTCCCAAAACATTCAAAGTGAATTTCAACTTTCCATTTTTTAATCGTAGAATATTTGTAATTTTAATGTATGGCTAGATATGTCTTAATTGCTAACGGCTGAGGGGATGATATAAATCCAGCTAGGGCCCATGCAGGAAGCAAATGTACTGTAAGTCCCCATGGTCCCTAGTATGGTGATCTACCTTCAGTTGTTAGCGATCTATAGCCCATTTTTAGATTGTGTTGTCCCCTATGGTTAAAATGTTTTAGATTCAATTACTAGTTTTACATATATATATCTGTGATACTCTAGTCGCTTTACTGTCCTTCGATGACAGGTTTTTAATTATAATATATTACATATTCCATTACAATGTAAAATGTTCTCGTCACGATATGGCTGAAATATTGCCGATGTGACGTTAAATAATAACTCACTCACTCAACTCCTTGAATGGTGTATCCCGCTTTAGACAACCACTGAGCATGACTCATTTAACGCTCTAATTGTCCTAGAAAGGGACATGCTCAAAACTGCAATGCGAAAGAACCCGTTGACCCGTGGAAAGTTGAAATTATCCCTCTTACAATACAGACTTTCGTGGACTTGTTTATATTTTTGAATTTTATGCCCGACTTTTCGCTGCAGACGTAAAATAAATAAAATAACACATGATGCTGAAGCTGCTTTCTCTCTGACAAGCAGCTGAGTTGAGAAAATTGTGTTGAGATTACGAACTTAAAGAAAATAGAAAACAAAGATATTGATCTTATGTATTCAAACACACAGTGCTTGTGGACCTATCAAGAAATTCCATGTAGCCATAAATGAAAATGTTTGTTTTCTTGTAATTTCATAGCATTTATGCGCTTACTATGCAGTATGAATATCATATTCTTTTTGCCATACACGACATTGTGAACGAGTGAATCTCCTTCACCTGTAAGTATTCTTGTGTGCTCTGATGGCATAAACCAGTCTGTTATGATTTTCATTTCAGCCACGAGGAATGCATCTGGACCATACATGCTCCAGCAAACACGAACATTGAAGCTAAAGTCAGGAACACATTGATTGAATCAACATCCCAATGTACATACGATTTCCTGGAAATATACGATGGTAATTATTCTTGAAACCATTTGATAATTGTAACATAGGAATATACCAATACTCCAATTTTATATGTGTCATTTGAACAAGATGTAAAGATAGCGTGCTACAGAAATGGGAGGGAGGGGAAGGGCATAATGTTGGTGGTGTTCACCAAGTCATCTTTTGCAGTGGATTATGAACAATATTTCCCTAATATTGCAAACGTCTACGACGCGTTATTGGCGCTTTTCATCTGACAGCTTGCAGACCGAGGCGGTATCACTGAAAATACACTTTTAAACAGTGTAAACGTATAATCATAAAATTTAAACATACAAATGATAATCATATAAGTTGGTTTATGAATTCTCGATTTGTATTAACGCGTTTTTGTGCTCAGGAGTATCATCCAGTTCATCAAGTGCCGGGAGGTTATGTGGGGATGACGACACTGACTACATCAGTTCCGGTCACGTCATCACCGTTAGGTTTCATTCTGACTCATTTACCAGACGCAAAGGATTTCAAATGCATCTCAAAGCGGGACACTTTAGTGGTAAGAAACGTGTATGCGCAATTCCAACACTGGACAAATATGATGTTGTATGTAACCTCTGCCTTTTATTGCCTTTTTCCCTTTGTACTCAAAGGCAGAAGTAACCGAAGAATGTCCTTGTTTATACCAAAGAATTTTTGAAAGTACGTCTTTCCACTTTTGTGCAAATTTCTTAAGTTACATTGAATTGTATAGTTGGTTACATTCATGCATGCATGCACGCACCAGCGCACGCACGCACAGACATGTATTGGATGCATGCATGCATACATACATACATACATACATACATACATACATACATACATACATACATACATACATACATACATACATACATACATACATACATACATACATACATACATACATACATACACGTATCTAAGTATTGTGTCATATTATATTTCAGTTTCTGAGACCGAGGAGTTTTCAGCTTCCTACAGTAGCAAGTACATATATTCTCCGAATTACCCATTTAATTACCCGAGGTGAGTGCTCGAGTTATGTACACAATTTACGATCATATGTCCTTTCCGCGATTCCGGTTATTTATGCCGACTATCAATACCATGTCTAAATACGAGGAAGGTAATCAACATTGGTCAGCCTGTTTTTTCACTAGATGTTGGCAAGCCCGTCGTAAACTACTGTTGTGTCTGGAGGTATAGGTGTAGGTATGATATAATATAAATGAGTGAGTGAGTTAATATTTAACGTCACATCGGCAATATCTCAGTCATATCGTGACGAAAACAATTTATACAATATAAAGAGAAAACATTTTGAAGATTAAAACCTGTCAACGATGGACAATAAAAATACTAGAGAATCAAAGATATGAAAAAAACTAGCGAGCAAAGCTAAAACATTTCAATAAAAGAGGACAATACAGCATAAAACAAGGGCTATAGATCGCCAACAACTGAAGGTAGATCACCATACTAGGAACCATGGGGACTTACATTACTTTTGCTACCTGCATGGACCCTAGCTGGATTTACACCATCCCTTCAGCCGCTGGCGATTGTAGGAAAATGTAGCCGGCAGTTAATATAAATGAAAAGCTATAATGAAATTAATATTGAAAAGAATAAGAACATTCCCCTGATCATCAATCCTGACAACAGTACCAGCTATATAACGGTTTCCTGTAAATAACAGAGTCTGGACAAGACAATCCAGTCATTGACATCATGAGCACCTATCTATTTGGAAACAATGTCATGCATCAACCAGGTCAGCGATCCAGACATCACGATGCCGGTTTTCGCCTCTTACGACAAACATGGGTTGCTGAAGATCAATTCTAACCCGATTCATCACGAGTGTTAAACTTTACTACACGTTAGAAATGTTATGACGTCGCGAGTAGAACAAACACAAAATTCATCACTGGTGAAAGGTTTACATATTGCCTACCTCCACTGTTTTGGCAGATCGTATGACCACAATACACGTGTGTTCTGTATTCTAGTAACGCTGAGGTCGGCTGGAAGATCACCGCGGATGAGGACTACATTGTCAAAGTCAACGTTATTGAATCTAGACTCGAAAAGTCCTTCGGCTGTGCCAATGACTATGTGGAGGCATTTGACGGTAAGGGATGGGCCATTTGGTATTCTTTCTGTTGATGTTCTTCGACAATAACTTCTTTTTTAATCCTCTGGAAAGCAATTTCGGATACAATTATTTTTCTTTACATAATATACAAGCATCTCACAAACATCGAATGGTCGAAGTGAATACATTTTCTGTATTCTCTGTGTTGCAAAGTATTGTGTTATAGTAAATGGTGTGCGTGCGTGCGTGCGTGTATGAACATTCTATGTATAAAGTTTCTGTGCCACTGTTGTCCAGTCCTGAGGTTATGATCTTTGTGGCTCCAGTATAACTATCGGATGTGAGTGGACACGTCATTATAGAACATGTGTCTGCACTGATTTGTAGAAAATATATAACTTGTTGGTTTAAAGGGCCGAACTCGAATGCCCCTTCACTTGGTTGCTGGTGTGGAAAGAGTGAGCCTATCAAACGCAGTTCTGGTTCTGTTATGTTCCTGAAATTCAAGTCGGATTCATCTGGTGTTGATCGTGGGTTCAAGATAGAGTATACCAACGAATATAATTATCATTCTGGTAAGTGTCGGACAAGTTGAATACACGATTTATAACCACATCAAGTTGAAAGGACTTTAACATAAGTCATTACAGTAAATGAATCAGTGTGTAAACATGGTGGCTGGGTGGGGTGATTTGGACGAGGGAGTAAGTGATATAAGCATCAGGTGCTTGCGAAGATTCCAAATATGTCTCTTGCTTGTATGTTGTTGATGCAGTTAGGTTCACATCCCAGGGGCTGTCTGGCCAAAATCGTCCCCTTCCTTAACTTGTGCCATATATCCCTTTCACTTGCTTGCGATTTGTTAAGGCTGCATCGACTGATCAGGATACGCTAAAAACACGAACGCTTGATGTCGTCGCTGTAAGATGGTGATTCATGTACGTTGTAGGAGACGTTCATGGACAGCTTTTAGCTCAATTTACCTATGATGAAGGAAGGGAGTTGTTCGATTATTATTACAATCATTACTGCACGGAATCCTTCTGACTGCATTTATTCCAAATTAATTCAATCAAAGAATAACAGTTTCTTGACAAATATGAATACAGTTTGTGGTAGAATTAAGCCACAGATTGAAATATTAAATCAATTAGAAGCTAACTGTCTGTAGAGTAATACCGTTGAAGCTAAATGAATTGCTGAATACCTTTTATCTTTCTGCTGTTATGCTACACTGAGATTTGCAATGTGTGAATTCATTCACAGAAATACTTTAAATTGGGATTTGAAAGAATTCGTATTACATGTCTGTTGAACTGCAATTAGGTATTTCACTGCCTGCTAATTGCATAAACATGAGCGACAGACTGTAAGACGTATATAATGACATACTTGTCAGATCCAAGTAAGGGTAGGCAATCTAATTAATGTGTTGCATCTGCTTGTCAGTAGTTTTCTGACTATTGATTTGTTAGTGAGTGAGTGAGTTAAAATTTAACGTCATATCGGCAATATCTCAGCCATATCGTGACGAGAACAATTAATTTTATACATAATAAGCAAGGGCAAACTATAAAAACCTGTCAACGAAGGACAGTAAAATAACTAGATTATCACAGATTCGAATTTAAAACTAGCAATCAAATCTAAAACAGTCTAACTATAGGACAATACAAGGTAAAAACCGGCTATATATTGCCAACAACTGAACGTAGATCACCATACTAGGGACCATGGGGACTTACAGTACATTAGCTTCCTGCATGGACCCTAGCTGGATTTACACCATCCCCTCAGCTATTAGCAATGTTAGATAATCTAGCCATATATTAAAGGAACATATATTCTACGATTAAAAGAGTAGTAGGTTGAAATTTACTTTGAATGTTTTGGGACTTACGTACCCTCTCAGGAGGACAATAATTTTACGCTACTTCAACCCCCTTTGAGGGCACTGCCACTCACAATCTAAGTTACAAATCAAAACTACCAATAATTAAAATACATCTATGTACAGAACATATTAATCAAAATTCATTCATTAAATCAATTTCTTTTAAAAAGCCAATAATTAAATGATAATTAACATTTGTAAAAAGATCCTTCATTGTTTTTACATTGAAATATTTATCCCTTATGATGGAGAATTCAACACAGTCAAGCAGGACATGCTTGACCGTGGTTCTCTCATCACAAGGGATACAAAACGGAGGATCCTCACCTTTCAATAGGTATTTGTGAGTATAACGCGTATGGCCAATGCGACATCGTCGCATAATGACCTCCTCAAATCTGGACTGACAACCCAAGTAGGTATAACCAATGTAGGGTTTTATTTCATGTAATTTATTAATACCTACTTGGGTGTCCCACTTCTTCTGCATCAGATCACGGATGTAAGTTCTAATGCCAGCTTTATAATCAGAATATGGAATAAGAAGTGGTGTCACAGATTTGTTGAGTGCCGCCTTGGCAACAAGATCAGCCATTGTGTTCCCAGAAATGCCAACGTGGCTGGGCAGCCAACAAAAGACGATGTCGCATTGGCCAGTAGCAAGTTCATTATATAATTCGATTATTTCAATTAAAAGTGGATGTTTGCAAGATAGATTTTTAATAGCCTGAAGGCAAGAAAGTGAGTCAGAAAAGATGATATATTGTTTATGTTTAGGATGTCTTTGAATATATTTAAGAGCTGTTAAGATGGCGTTTGCTTCTGCGGTAAATATAGAGCTGTTATCCGGTATTCTAGAAGATATTGTTCTGGATCCAATGACAGTGGCACATGCCACTGCGCCACCGTCCTTGGACCCATCCGTAAATAAGGATTTGTATGTATTATATTTATTTCGTAGTTGACTAAATTCTTGCTTATACTGTAAGTCATTTGTTTCTGATTTTTAAATGTAGTTAATGTTAGGTCAACGTGTGGTTTAACCAATTGCCAAGGAGGAGAAGAAAAAAGACGGGAAGGAGATATATTCTCCAACTCAATGCCGGCAGCAGAGATATATGGTTGGATTCGTATCCCAAGAGGCGGAACAAGGGCAGTTTTTTTATTGTACAAATCCTCATAAAGAGGGTGAAAAACGCAGTTGTGAGCAGGATTGGAATCATTAGAAGATAACTTTGTGACATATTGTAAAGACAATTTGATACGGCGAAGTGTTAAAGATGGCTCATCGGCCTCAACATAAAGACTGTCAATGGGTGAGGTTCTAAAGGATCCAAGACAAAGTCTTAGACCTTGGTGGTGGACAGAATCTAATAGACTCAAGTTACTTCTGCAGGCTCCACCATACACGATCGAACCATAATCAAGTTTGCAACGAATTAGTGCTCTGTATAAGTGAAGGAGGGTCGACTGATCACCTCCCCACTTAGCATTGGAGACGACTTTTAATATATCTAATGCCTTCAGACATTTTGCCTTAAGATATTTAATATGAGGTAAAAACGTAAGATGATGGTCAAATATGATACCCAAAAATTTAGCCTCCTTAACTACTTTAATGGGGGTACCCGATAGATGTAAATATGGGTCCTTGTGTGGTTTATATTTGCGACAGAAATGGATGCAGTTAGTTTTAGATTTAGAAAACTTAAAGCCATTTCGTTCGGACCAATCTTTAATTTTATTGAGACAGAACTGCAACTGTCTCTCAATCGTGTGCATATTTTTACCCCGACATGAGACATTAAAATCATCAACAAATAATGACCCATCAACAGAGTCATTTAACACTTTCGATAAACTACTTATTTTGATACTGAACAACGTTACAGATAATATGCTACCTTGCAGGACACCTTGATCTTGTTCATACAATTCAGACAAGGTGGAACCCACACGCACCTGGAAATGTCGATCTGTTAAAAACTGTGATATGAAATTAGGCAAACGGCCTCTCAGACCCATATCATGAAGATCATTCAAAATTCCATGTTTCCAGGTGGTATCATAAGCTTTTCGAGATCAAAAATATAGATACAGCATGTTGTTTATTTACGATAGCATTCTTAACAAACGTTTCTAATCTAACTAAATGGTCAATGGTACTTCTGTTTTTCCTAAACCCACACTGGATATTTGTAATAAGATTATTAGTTTCTAAGTACCATACAAGTCTGTTATTGACCATTCGTTCCATGGTCTTGCAAACGCAACTAGTAAGCGATATTGGCCTATAGTTGGAAGGATCAGTATGATCACGGCCTGGTTTTGGAATAGGAATAATGACAGCATTCCGCCACGAGGAAGGGAAATTACCCGTTGTCCATATTTGATCAAAAATATTTAACAGGGTTTCTAAACAAGAATCAGGTAAATGTTTAAGTAACTGATAATGAATACCATCAGCACCCGTAGCAGTATCATGAGCTTGCCCTAAGGCAGTGTGTAGTTCATGAATGGAAAAACCCTCATTATAGTCCCTCACCATTATCAGACGCAAAATTGATTTTCATTTTTCAGCTTGTTGTTTAAATTTTGAAATTTTGTGTATAATTTGATGATGAGGAATGTTGAGCTAAAGTTTCTCCTAATTTATTAGCTATGTCAGATTTATCAGTTAATATGGTGTTTCCATTTTTAAGATGATGAACACCAGATTTTGATCCTTTACCTTTTATCCTTTGCACCATATTCCATATTTTGGACATAGGTGTTCGTGAATTAATTTTGAAACATAGTCTCGCCAAGACTGACGTTTAGTTTGTTTGAAGGTATGACGCGCCTTCGCATTTAGTATTTTGAATTTATTTAAGTTATGGACAGTTGGGTGATGGCGGAAATATTTCTCTGCCTTCTTCCTTACTTTTCTAGCATTTTACAGTCTGCATTAAACCATGGCTTCCGCACATGTGGAGTTGTAGAGGACTTTGGTATACATTCATCAGCTATTACAGTTAAAACGTCAGAAAACATCTCAATAGGATCAGCAACATCACTGAAACATTCAGGTCTTAGTTTAGATGTACATAAAGTTTGAAATAAGGACCAATCTGCCTTGGAAAAAATTCCATTTTGAGTAAGATGGAGAATCAGTTGGGGAAATTTGTGATAGTATCGTTGGAAAATGATCACTTCCACAGAGATCATTATGGACTGACCAATCAAATTCATTGAGTAGATTAGAGTCTGCAACAGATAAATCTAAAGAAGAGTAGGTGCCGGTTGCAGGATGCAGATAAGTGCTTGAATCATCATTGAATATACACAAGTCATTGTTCGTGATGAAATCTTCTAGTAGTTTACCTTTAGTGTTAGTAGCTGTGCCACCCCAGAGTGGATTATGGCCATTGAGATCACCCATTATAATGCATGGTTTCGAAGCTGATCATAGAGACCCTGAAGATCAGACAGATGAAGTGTGAAAGAAGGCGGATATACAACGAGCATATTGTAAAGGCAATATGAAGAGTGATTCTTACTGCAACAGCTTGAAGATTAGTTGTAAGTTTTACTGGGCTGTGAATAACATTCTGCTTAACAAGGATTGAAGATCCGCCAGTGGCCCTGTCACCCAGAGGTGAGAAATAGTGATATGCATCGAACTGACGTAGATTAAATGTATCTGTCTGTTTCAGATAAGTTTCCTGCAGACAGAACGCTGATGGTGCCAGATCTTGAACTAAAAGATGTAACTCATTAAAATTTGTCCTTAATCCTCTACAATTCCACTGTACTATATTTTTGGAAAACATTATCTTTTTGGTGGGTTGACTGGGGATCTACCCCGCACGGTTTTTGAGGGCGACAAGCTATGTGCCCTGAATGGATAGTGTCAGACACTTCCATATCCTCCATTGATCCAAACCTATTAAACAATTTGATCTTATCATCTGACCCTTTAGGAGCTCGAGTTGGTTTCGAAGATTCTGTTCTTGTTTTGGTTTTCGATTTTACTGTTTGTTTTTCATTCTTCTTTTCACACTGAGATCGAGACTGAGAAGGAGGAGATACGTTTTGCTGCGTAGAAGGTGGTGTTGTCTGAGTGGTCTGTTCAGGAAAGATAGATTTGGGATGTTCTGTATTCACCCATGTCAAGTCAGTCTGACATGAGCTTGATGAAGTGATTACAGGTGAAGTAGTTCTTTTTTGAGGACGATTCAGGAGTTTTAGTGACGGAGGCGTAAGTCTCAGTGAGTTCAGAGGACAGTACAATTTTTTTGGCTTCTGCGAAACTGACGTTTCTGGAAAATTTGACTTTGTTAATTTCCATTTGCGTTTTCCAAATGGAACATTCTTTAGAAAAAGACGAGTGAGGTCCTGAACAGTTTGCACATTTTAGAAATACTATCACAATCTTCTGTTACATGTGTATTCTCAGCACAGTGAGCACATGTAACAGACAATGTGCAAGTATTCACACCATGTCCGTATTTCTGACACTTGAAGCAGCGCAGAGGGTTTGGAATATATACATCAACGTTTAGATTGCAATAACCTGCCTTGACTGACTTTGGAGGAAGTGGTGCAGAAAATGAAAACAGGTAAGTGTTTGTTTGAATGATCTCATTATTTTTCCGGGTTGTAAACCTTTGACGAATGAAACTCCTTGGTCTTTCATCTCGGATACAATATCGAGCTCAGTCATGTCTGCAAATAGATGATCCTGATCTCTAACAATACCTTTGCTGGTGTTTAACGTTCTGTGAGCTGACACCAGAACCGGAACTCCAATGAATACATCAATTGATAGCAGGTTGGTTGCTTGTATCTTTCTGTTACATCTGATTAACAGCGATCCTGTTCGCAAGCGTTTGATGTTTTGACTTCTCCTGCTATTCCAGAGACACCTTTAGAAATTGCAAAAGGGTTTAGTTTTAATGGAGTCTTGTCAAGAGTCTCGATAACCAAAAATCGTGGCCAATAATCGATAGATGTGGAGGGACGTTGCTGATCATCGCTTTCAAGTGGACGTTTGGTTTTTTTGTTAGGGGTTTGATAATCCATGGCTGTTGTTATATTGTTTCGTCATCCAAGCTCCCCACCCACCACGGAGTACCATATAGACAATGCTAAAAACAAGTGGATTTCCGACTTGTAGCACCAAGGATACTTGGATGATATACTCCAGCAGAAGAATTATAAATAATTACTCCACCAGATTGGCCCATGAGCCACCGCCTTCTGGGCATAGGACTCTAGGCAAGTTATAGAATGAAAGTTCTAATTGAATTTCGAAGGAAACATCATAAAGCCAAGACATTTGCCAAAACATTTAACTATATAAAATATATGTGCACCACAATATACATGCACAGGGCTTGGCATGACCAGCCGATTGGTAGAACCGGGCCCATTCTACCTCCCGTCTAGGTGAAGTCAGGGCCGAAGTGGTGTGTTGGGCAAAAGGAACACTGTTCCTGGCTCCAGTGCCCTCAACCACCAGAATCCCGTCCTCCACCGACACAGGGGCGCAACCCACGGCAAACGGGTTGGTGGACCATATATCCCCCCGGGTCCACAACGGGGGTTGAAGGGCGCTTAGCGTGACCCAGCACCCACCACGAGGAGGTGGCCCTTCATGGGTGCCTGATTTGTTAGTGAGTGAGTGAGTATGGTTTTACGCCGCTTTTAGCAATATTCCAGCAATATCACGGCGGGGGACACCAGAAATGGGCTTCACACATTGCACCCATGTGGGGAATCGAACCCGGGTCTTCAGCGTGTCGAGCGGACGCTTTAACCATTAGGCTACCCTACCGCCCCTATTAATTTGTGAAGAACGGATATAAAGGTACTGTACACAATTGGTAGAACTATGGTTGTGAGCCAAACCAAAAATTAATCCATGGATACATTGTAAATTACAACTCGTAAATAATTATTTTAACTCGGGATTTTGTACATAAACTTTGCAATGTCTTATTGGGTAATACCTAATGTTTCTGTATCATCATATTTTATAGATTTGGATACTGATGTTGGAGCCATTGTTGGGGGCTCGATTGGTGGCGCGTTTCTTTTGCTACTCATAATAAGTGTAATCGGCATATGCATCTACAAACACGGCCAACGCACCACTGCCACCAACCTCCCAGTGCAATATACTGTAGGCCAGGTACCTGTGATCAACCATTTTGGCCAAGCTCAGATCACCAACGCAATGCCCGCCACAACCTTCACTGGACCTCCTACCTACACACCGGCAGCTCAGGGTGCTGCCGTACCTTATTCAGGGTACGTCAATGCGGAAGCACTGCCAAACAAATATTGAAGGTCCATGTGTACATCCATCATCGATTATCAAATGCATGATATCACCATTCTGTCATGACTACAACAGGATAGTTAGGTTATTAGGCCATTTAAAATAGCACAATAGACCTCCACTCAAATGACTAATGGGCAGGGGTGCTTTAGCGAATGGCTCTGGCGTACTTATCCTCACTGATACCTGTGGTCAACAACTTTGACCAAGCACACACCGCCAACGCACCTTCTGCCAACACACTGGCAGCTCAGGGTGCTGCCATACCTTCTTCAGGGTACGTCAAGCAGGGTACGGAAGCATTGCCAAACAAATATTGACCTTCCATGTGTATAAACATCGTCGACTTTCTGATGCATGATATCACCATTCTGTCATGACTACAACAGGCTAATTAGGTCATAAGGCCATTTGAAATAGCATAATTGGCCTCTAATCAAATGACTCAAGCTGATTGGCAGAGGTGCTTTGGCGAATGGCTCTAGCGTACTTACCCTCAAAGCGTACATACCCTCACTATACACTTGTGTTCGCTTTATGCCATGTGCAGTCCGAAGCTTGAGTGAATAAAGTTCAGTTCATTTAAGTTTATACCATGTGCAGTGTAATAAAGTATTCTGTTGCCCTTAAAAGAACGATCAAATCAAGAACGATGCTACCAACAATGCCTCAGATCATACGGGAAGGGGGTCAGAGTTTGTGACGTCACCCATTATTTCGTAGTTCCACAGGATGCAGCACCGCCTGTGCCTTTGATCTTTTGATGACAGGATACGGCATGCTGTGATATGTATTGATCTGTTTTAGTTCTCTCCCTTTTTTCACATTTTTGTGATGGTAGAATTAGATGTTTGGTTGCGAATTCAGTTATATGAATATACTTGTACAGTTGTATATAGTTGTTTGATATCTTTATGTACTTAAACGTTGTACAGAAATGCATAATGTAACTATTCAGGGATCATGTATGCCTGTCTGTGTTGTACATGTAACAAATACCTCGGGTAACATGGATCTGAATGTAGAAATATGACGTTTATTGTGTTTATGTACTCCAACCAGACTGAAAATAATTCATGAACATTAGACAGCTACAACAGGGTATTAGTCTTTTCTTTCATATGTATTTTTCTGTCTTCGTTTAAAATTTAGGTGCAACATATGAATAAAACGATGACTGAAGGACATTTTCATTTCTTTTGTTTTATATTCATACGCCCCATGAAAGTCCGGGTTAGAATATTGATATTGAACTCGATTATTTACAGACCGCCGCCATATAGCTGGAATATTGCTGAGTGCGGCGTAAAACTAAACTCACTCTCTCTATATTCATAAACATATACACGTATTACAAGGGACGTAGCTCTACACAACGAATTGCGGATGGAAAATACACAATCCTCAATAGTTACGTAAAATCGTATATTCGACTGTATTCATTAACCGATGTGATTAAAGGATTTGTCTTTAAGTAAAAAGTAATTGTATTGTCAGCTTAATCACTCGGTGATAAACATAAACAACCCCGTCGTATACTGCAAGTACATATAATTCTGCATATTTGAGATACTGACACTCGCTTGCCAAGGAGATATATTTCTAACTACCTGTTAAGAAACTTACAAACGAATAAAGATTATACTGTCGCCAAAATCCACTCTCTTTGGAGTGTAACAGTTTATTACTATGAATATTCTTTCTCGATTCTTTTATTTGATAATCGACTTTTCAATTAAATTGGTAGTGCCCGGAGCAGAGAGAATCAGTAGTGTGATTAGTTTGTTTACATATCCTCTTATGTCAACGTAAAACAATGGTACGACACAGCAAGCTACATTTTCAAGTTATATCTGGGTAAGCTGAATGCTCACTGCGAATGCTTACGGGAGTTAGTTTCTCTGTGTTTTCAAACCACGGTTACTCGTTCTTAAATAACCATCAACAGGTTTTCCAGTGAACATGAAATTGAATGTCAGAGCCTTTTTTCTTTCAGAGTCTAAAAGGTTGAAAGATATGCACGTCAGTTTACCAATATTGATGTCAAATTAAATCAGAATGAGAGAAACAGCTGTGAGGGTCATATTACACTAAATGAATGTGCCTCTGTTTTAAAATCTATGACAAATCGAATGAGTCCAGGATCAGACGGTTTTCCAGCAGAATTCTACAAGTTTTTCTGGAAAGATATCGGAATTATTCTCCTTAGATCTATAACACATGCTTTCTATATTGTAACTTTGGCAAATATTCAAAACCAGGGTATAATAACCTGCATTCCTAAAGAAAACATAGACAGGCGTTACCTAAAAAAACTGGCGCCCAATAATTTTATTAAATGTTGACTATAAAATAGCTTCTGGAGTAATAGCAAATGAATCAAGAATGTTCTACCAAATATCATTAGCGAAACGCGAACGGGCTATCTTACGGACCTATTCATTGGGGAAAATATTAGAATATTATATGATATCATGAATTACTGTGAAATACACAAAAAGCCAGGGCTTCTTATAACAGTAGATTTTGAAAAAGCCTTTGACACTGTAGAGTGGCAATTTATAGATAAAGCACTGGAAGCATTCAATTTTTTACCTTCTCAAAAACAATGGAATACATTGTTTCAATATAATAGTAACAGTGCAATAATAATCACAGGACACATTTCAAATTATTTTAATCTTGAAAGAGGCTGTAGACAAGGCGATCCTATCTCCCCCTATCTATTCATCATTGTGCAGAATTATTATCTATATCTATTAAGAATAATATTTGAATAAAAGGTATAGATGTTAATGGTGTTGAATATCTAACCTTCCAATATGCTGATGATGCAAATTTCACCTTAGAAGGATCACAGGAGGGACTCTCGGAACTTATTGGAACAATACAGGATGTTGCTAACGCGTCCGGTTTAAAGATTAATTGTGACAAGACCAAGGCTATTTGGATTGGTTCAAAACAGAATTCAAATGAAAAGCTTTGTCCCCATTTGCCTTTGCAATGGTCAAAAGAACCTTTTAAAATTTTAGGGATAATTTTTTCGACAGACTTGAAACAAATGGTTTCCTTGCATTTTGATAAACAAATTAATTATGCAAGACAGATCTGTTTTTCCTGGTCAAAAAGATTACCAACATTAAATGACAAAATAACGATTATTAAATCACAAATAATCCCTTTATTTACAAATCTGTTTTCAGCCCTTTCATTTGTAACATATGTTATATTTGGGATTACACTTTCTTAGTAAAGTACAAATTCTAGTACTTTTTTGAGTTGAGCCCGAATCCCGGATGGGGCTCAACTAAAAAAAGTACTAGACTATAACTTCCAATATAACCTCATCCATTGTTTCATACCATCAAAATCATTTCTTTACAAAATAGGACTGATAGAGGATGACCTTTATACATTTTGCCAATCGGAAAGTGAAACACTAGAACGTGTATTTCACATTTTGGTATGAAAGTAGAACCAATTTAAAATTAGACTTAAATATGAATAATTTCCTTCTTGGCGATTCAAAGTTGAGTATCCTTGAAAACCACCTTTTTTATAATAACCAAGCGTTACATTCAAAATTGTCATTACAATAAGACTATTCCCATATTTACCCAATTATTACCTGTATGAATATTGTATCACTTGCTATCACAATAAAAAAAACAAAAAACAAAAAAAGAGTTAAAAAAAAGAAGGTTTGAAAGTTATGGGCTTGTCTTCTTGTTAGTTACATTTGTCCAACTGGTAACAAGTCTGTGTTTACCTTTGCACATGCACGTACATTTATAGTTAAGGCTAAAGTGTGTCAAAAGCGCTGGCTGTAATAGTTTGCGTGGAACAGCGGATATATGAACGGATTGCTATAAGGTATGTGTTTCATGTAGAAGCTGGACTATTTGACCTTTATGTTCCAAATATGAAAGTATGTATGCGTACTGTAACATGCCTAACATGTAACATGAAGTCTAAGAAATATCACGCACACATACACTGGGGCAGACATATAGACGGGCAGGCAGATAGACAGAATGTCGAAATGCTTATTACAAACATTACGGATCTGGACTATATCGAACTATAATTAGTTTTCCCTTTGTTGCAACACTCTCTTTCTAACCACACCTAAACACCAACACATTCTTGTCTATTAAACAGCAAACTATGTTATGTGAGATATAAGTATTCAATGTTTGTGTACAATTCTAGAACACAATGTGTTATGAATGAGTGAGTGAGTTTAGTTTTACGCCGCATTCCACCTTGTATCAGCTATACGGCGTCTGTCTGTTATAATCGAGTCTGGTCCAGGCAATCCAGTGATCAACAGCATGAGCATCGATCTTCGCATTTGGGTGAGTGAGTGAGTTGAGTTCTACGCCACACTCAGCAATATTCCAGCTTTATCGCGCGGTCTGTAAATAATCGAGTCTGGACCAGACCATTCAGTGATCAACATCATGAGCATCGATCTACGCAATTGCGAACCGATGGCATGTGTTAACCAAGTCAGCGAGGCTGACCACCCGATCCCGTTAGTCGCCTCTTTCGACAACCATGGGTTACTGAAGATCAATTCTAACCCGGATCTGAGGGTTGAGGTGTTATTAATCAGGATTGATTCACAAAGACGTCATATACGAGAACAGGTTTGGGTGTACGTGTGACCATTAGTCAACAACTGACAACTCTTTGTAACCATATATGTATAATCATTCACACTTGTATTTCTTGCATTTACTATGTACACAGATATCAACTTTACGTTATCACAACGTTGTGCTGTAACGTTATTATGTGGACTGTTTCGATTTCCAGTATCACAAAGTTGTTAAGCATCATCGTATCATACATACGTATTTGCTGTTAAAGTGTTTATGCAACATAGTACAGGAGTGTCTCCATATGGTATTCGCTGTTGCGCAATGAGTGCTCGCCTTGTCGAGGTTACTACCCACGATATCTCACTCACCTACAGGGTTATATCCAGGCGAAAATGTCGCAATCGCGGTTGAGTTTTTGCACCCAAAACCAGGAGCCCCAGAAACAAGATTTCTCTTCCTTAGTTTGGCACCGTTAGGATTTTAAGTCCACAGTACCTAATTTACATAATGTTTGTTTCGTTTACTTAGAAGTACTTCCTGTTTGCAGGAAATTCAAATAACCTCCATGTCCATGTTACTGTAAAGGTAAACAATGTTTAAGACGATATTCAACAAACAATGCGACCAAACAGTTAACTAAACATTTCGATTTATTCACTGAGTGATAGAAAAAATCATATTGGAACAATAGAATAACATCATTAATTGCTTTTAGGAGCTATTAGCTGTACTGAAGCATGACTGTCTGATTGATGATTACATACTAAATTATCGATAGAACAACGTTCCCGCTTTAAAGAGTCGTGTGTATCGCTGACACGCTCACTAACACTAAGCATACAAGTAGTTTGATAAGGTTCCCTTGACGTCACAACCTGGCCTCAATATATTCACCGCGTATGACAACAGCTCGCCATTACACTTGCCACCCGAGTCTGTTGGATGTTTATTAAGCCGGAATTCAAACAAATGTTGGGGATATACAAAACTATAGCCGTCTTTCTCGGTACACTGTCGTCATTGCATGCTGCAAGTACAGGTAATGTTTCCAGGTTTCTACAGGTAGATAGTGACGCTAAGTGACACAAAGGTTTATCAAACAGAGTGTAATTTCTGGACTACCTTGATGTTTGTATTCGATAATCCGGATAACATCGGCACACAGTCAATAACCATACGGAAGGCATGCCTTGACAGCACACTCTATGAAAAATCTATGTCAAAATCTATATCTGAAGCATTGTGCTTAAGAATTACATAGTGATGATATGTCTGCTGAAAAAAATGATCGTAACCTGCCCACTGTTGGCTCCTTATTAAGACGTGCATGGGAATCGATAATTCGAAACATAATAATGCTAAACCACTCGGCATTCTACTTGTCAAGGTAAATCATGGGTCTCTGATTGCTCACTAGTTAAACAAGGTCACTCATATCTTTGCCTGTGTTGTCAACCTTTCAAAACTCGATCATTGGTGAAGAAATGACCATGTATTGAAAGATTTTGTACCGAACACTAGAGCGTCTAGGGAGCATAAGAATTTAAAGAGTGAAAACCAGTGTTTAACAAGGACACTTTGTGGCCCACCGGATCAACGTTAGTTATTTAGAAATTATATTCAGGCATTTATCTGATCGAGAACTTGATCTGCTCATGTTAACGCATCCATGTTTATATGTACTTGATGCTAATCTGTGTAAAAAAGGGATACTTTAGATAAATTTTAGGAACTTCAGGATAAAGGTTTGTACATGGAGTTATGTGACTCTGTTTTACATGGCATTGTTCTCTCAGTTTAGATGTATTTTAGGACTTTAAGATAAGAAATTAACATTAAGTTTATGTTTTACATGGCACTTGGTTTATGAAGTTACATTATCTGGCATTGTTCTTGGGATGCGGGATACGTAATGCTGACTATATGTGCAGATTAACACGATACCCCAGGTGAAAGTGATTTACCTGTGAGGGTTAAATATAGCTTTGTTTCTGTTGGTCTGAGCATGAATCTTGGATAGCGACCAGGCAGGATACCGTGCCCGATTCGCCCTTGTTGTACTTGACGCCGTAATTCAAGTTAAGCTCTCAAATAAAGAACCTACTAATTGACTTCTGGGATTGAACGATAGCTATATCGTCCCTTAGGTCTGAGATGCATTATTTAGATATTTGTAGTTGATCTAAGTGCTTCTTTTCACACATGGGATTCACATAAATGTTTTTGAAATATTACCTTTAAAAATTGTATTTTGATTTATATCTAACCAAAAACTAGAGTTTAACAATACGACAAAATTTAACGACACATTTCCACTACCTAAAAAGTAGAAGCCAGTTTATGCTCTGATACTTTCTTGAAAAACCATTTCAACTATAAGCATATGTGTACATGTGTCATTGATTGTCTTTCCAGACAGATGTTTCGAGGAAATCACACTTACTGGGGACACAGTAAACATAACATCGCCAGGATATCCAAAACCTTATGGCGCGTAAGGATCAAATGTTAAGATCAAATGTTTGTGCAGTAAGAGACTGGGTGCTAACATGATAACGTTCAATTAGATGACCCCACGTGCAGAGAAAGGCCTTATATAGAGTCGTGATATGGTCAGGATAAGTGTTGCACTGTGGAGGGGCGAGGTAACACTCTTTAATTGATTATAGATATACGATCTTGCTACATTGTAAATGGTTTGCCCGTTTGATGAATAACTTCAGCTTATAAATATTCCTACCATGATCACTGTTTATTTCAGAAACGTGTCTTGCGGATGGGAGATACACACATCGACACCATATCGTCGAATTGGCATTCACATTGCAAATTTTCCTTGGAATCGTCCCTAAATTGCCAATTTGACAGTCTGTCTTTCTACGATGGTACGTATATCATTTGCAAATAGTTGTATCATTAAAGACGGCCCTGGTTAAAATTCAGGTTAGAAGAAGGCAATTGAACAATCAGCAATAACATTAAGATCGTTAGTTTTGTCAACAGTGTACATGGTTTCAGGCCTAGCCTTTGCGATGAAAACAGAATAGAGATGTTATTTACATTCAGTCGCCTACCACCTACACGAGATGTACAAAACATTACAACAACATAATGTCTATACATTTATTTGTTGGATAGATATAAAACATTCTTGCCGAGCCAAAATATGCACATTTGTTCAATGTTCCTAATCGTGGACTATTGAAAAGTAAATACATTTTGTACATATCGGGTCGAATGCAGCAACATCTTTGCACAATTGCTGTATTTCGTTTTCCAATGATGGACAAATAAACAGGTAATGTAACGCTTCTCCTACGTCAGAAACTGTGTATCCTATACAAACTGGGGGGTTTATTTATGTTTTAATCTTTTGTCCTGATGTATTGTTGAGATAAATTACATATTAAATAATCAATATCCCATAGCCGATTGAGTAACTGCAATAACATGAACACGTGTCTGACAAAATCTATCATCATGATGTTGACTATTGTGACATTTTGGTCACCAGGGCCAAACAGATCCAAGGTACCCATGTTCAAATTTTGCGGCGAAGAATCAACCCCGAGCAGCTTCCTCAGCAGCAGAGACAGCATGTACATAGAGTTTATCTCTGATTCTTCCAAGAATGCAGCAGGGTTTCGCATCAACGTTATGGATGTTGAACGTGAGTGACACCCTTCTTTTTAGCGAATTCTACCGAACAGATCTTGGTACAAACGCCATGACTGATTTTGAAAATGAATTCATTTTACCTGTCATTCCCAAAGTGTTTTGTTTGTCTCAGCGTTCGTTATGTGGTTTAGAGGAATATACAGAATAACTTTTATACAAACACTCCTCTGTTTATAGTATGTTACCACTGTCCAACATGGAAACTATAAAAACGTTAAATGTTGCCAAATTTCTGCAAGACCCTGAGCTTTAAAAGTATGCCTCTTGGTTCCAAAAGATTCACAGCATCTCATCATACAAATATGTTCAGATATTCAATTCTATATCCTCTTGATACAGTTCATAGAGGATTGGCAACATACGTAGAGCATAAAATATAATTTACGACTTCGCATTGATTTTTATTGTAAAAATCAATAACCTTTTGTTTAATATGTACTCTCTCTAAAAAGAAACGCATCATGAAAGTAGCAATTTCATGTAGCAATGAATTAACACGTGATTCATTTTACAAAAGGTTTTGCTCTGTTTATGAGTCCTATGGTGTTTATGTTTTGAAACATCATAACAAAACGCACCATCCGTAAAATACTCGTATTTAACAGCATGATTTTCAATTTCGGCGTGTAGTGTCAGAGAATACACAATTCACATGTAATGCACGTGAAAGTTGGGAATCAGATAGTCTCAGTGATGGGTATAAAAGGTTGATCGCTTTCTGTCGATTATTCACTGTATTTGGAATATTGTTAACGAACGCAAAATGCCACGTCTAAGTGAAGCAAACCGTCATATCGCCATTGGTCTGCTTGAAGCTGGCCAGTCTCAACGTGCAGTTGCCCGACGCATGAATGTTCACCAAAGCACCATTTCACGGCTCTGGGAGAGATATCGCCCGCAGATGCCCTCGTAGTGGGCGACCTCAAGCGACCACTGCGGCGCAGGATCGCTTCATCCGGGTACATCACCTGCGTCCTCGAACAGCTACGGTGACCAGTACCGCTCGACAAATACCCAGATTGAGGAGGCTTTCTGCAGAGCGTCAGAGCGTCAGGAACAGGTTGAGAGAGGCTGGTTTACGTGCCAGAAGACCTTATTTTGGCCCTGTGCTTCGTCAACAACATCGTCGACATCGAGTTCAATGTGCACCAACTTTCAGGCCTGGAACCTACCGAATCGGCGTAGAATCTGGTTCAGTGATGAATCACGATTTCTATTGGAACGACGCGATGGAATAATGTGGGTGTACAGACGTCGACGTGAACGTTTCGCCGACGCTTGCGTTCCCCAGGTGGACAGATTCGACCGGGGAAGTGTTATGATGTGGGGGGTGATCACCTACCGTTGGAGAAGTGATTTGGTGATGATCCAGGGCAACCTGACAGCTCAACGGTACTGTGACGAAACCCTACGCCCACACCTCCTTCCAATCATTGATCGCCAGAGGGAGTTGTTTCAACAGGACAATGCCAAGACCGACACAGCACCTCACACTAGAAACTTCCTCCAGAACCACAACATCAATGTGCTCCTCTGACCCTCAAGATCACCGGACTGAAACCCGATCGAACATCTGTGGGATGCCCTGGACAGACGGGTGCGACGCTGTAACCCTCAGCCCCAGACACTTCAGCAACTCGCACAGGCACTACAGGCAGAGTGGGCTGCGATTGGGCAACACGAGATTCTGAGGCTTATTCGTTCGATGCCGAGGCAATGCCGTGCAGTTGTGGATGCCCACGGTGGTCACACGAGGTATTGACTTCAGCGGCACCACACCTCTCCATGTGACACTCAAACTGACTTTCCTCGAGTTGGTGCCAAAGACGGATAAGTCTGCATTCCCAGTGTGCAATTTCATTGACTCATAAAGCCCACAAGATGTTTCAAAATAAACATAAAAATACAGTTGAAATTCCTATATGCGTTTCTTTTTTGGGAGAGTATACATACGGTTTAATATGCGTTAAGGGCCAACACCAATATCTATTGATACTCAAAGGATTGAAAAACATAAAAACCTTATTCAATGTTTACCTTAATGTTTGAAAACTATTGTAGAATGCGGTGGAACGTTGACAGCAACATCACAACCACAACACCTCACTTCTCCGGGATATCCTTACACCTACTTCAAGTAAATTGATCTTTATTCAATACAAACTGTTGTTGAAATCTGTCATTTCTTTAGTTGGTAACGTCTCCTCAATTCACCAGTTCATGAATGCTATAAAATCACGTTTATAGGGGACCGAACTTATTGAAGACAACTTTATAAGGTCATGAAGGAGTTAGAATACCCGGAAACCATCTCTCCGTGATGTGTATCACTCCTGAATTCACTTTCTCTCTATTGCCCATATTTTAATTTCGTTTTTCTTGTTTTGTGGAAGGTATACTGTAGTAGACAAGCTCTGATCTTTAACACAATTCTAGCATGAGTTTTGGCCTATGCTTTGCACTAAACATTTGTTAACAAGATATTTATTTGCACTTATTTACACTTTATTTATACAAATAATATTCTAAACAATCGCAAGTGTAATTGACTGTGACAAACTGTCACTTCTGTTTACTCATGTTCCTATCCAACATCATAACGTTAATTGTGATTCAGAAGAATCAACATAGAGGCATGTTATTGTTTTCAGTAACCTTAACTGCACATGGATCATTACAGCGGAAAATGAAACCGATACAGTTGGACTGAGAGTTCTAGATTCAGATATTGAGAAAGCTCCATCTGCCTCAAATGCCTGCCGCTATGATGTCCTTCGTGTTTATAATGGATACACGGCTGAAGGTACCTAATGCTTTTTGAAACTGACGGTAGGAAAGAGGAAGTACGTATCATTGAGGTAGTTCATTTAAAGGCCTCGCACATGATATTACATGAAACATTATGTACAAGCCTAATAAAGCAAATTACATGAAAAACTAGGATCGTTATGTGGAACGAATATCGTACACTTACATGCATACATGGGCGTGCCATGTACAACAGCATGTGAAATCGTTTCACCTTAGTAATGCCACTGGTATTTATGGTCAGGCTAGGGCTCTGGTATATTAAAACTAGAAGAAACTACTTACAGATGCCAGATTTTGACCTGTTTGCTTTCGTAATCAGCATTTTTTTATCAGCATCATTCACTCATCCACAAACTCATGACGTTGTTTATGGCTGCTGAATGTAAGACAAATGCTTTTTATGCACACTGATGACAAAGGTACTGATACTGTCGAGTACTGGGCAGTGATACATGCATGACCTACTTTGGTTCACTTTCAAATGTGTGTGGAATATGAAACCATTGGTGCACTGTAGGTTGCTGTTAGCAAATGTGTGTCTGTTAATACATGTTTGACTATTGGTATAACATTGTAACAATGATACATAATATATATTTAGGTTGCCTTAGTCAGAAATAATTTTATATTCCAGCTGATCAATATCTAGGGCAATCCTGTTCAAACCAGATGCCCAGATACCAGAGTTCGAAGAATTCGCTGGTAGTACAGTTTACCACCGATATGAGCACAACTAAGCAAGGCTTCAGGCTACAATATACTGCACGAAAAGGTATTTGTTTCACGGCTTGCTGTTAGATTACCAGCGTGTTGATATTATTTAATACAATTGAACGTTGATGGCGCGATCTTATTTATCCAGATTTAACTGTGTGATATTGGCAGAATCACACACTACTGTCTCGGCAGTGATTACTTTCATCAAACCACAGATACATTTGTTTGTACCTCTTCGACTTAAGTCTGTACATGCATCAGATCATCAGAATACTTTGTTTCTATGAGTTTAACAGGTTTATGTATTATGACAGATCTGAAAATAAGAACGAGTCATAGTTAACATAATAGAATAATGAAAATAATGTAAATATAAACTTCACAAATGTATAGACTTGGAAACTTTTAAACTACTTTTAAAGACTCTAAAACGATGATGTCACTATTATTCTGAACTCCTGACCCAGCACATTTAGAACTTATCACTGAGACAGGACAAGGCGCTAGCACCTGATAGAGTCACCACTAGGATAATTAAGTGTAGTGGTGTAACAATGAACTTTCACCATCTGCCATTGTTTTTGTAACTATAATTTCTGAATAGTTGATACTTTCCTGTGGAATGGGCTAAAGGTTTACTCAAAATATACAACAAGGAAGACAAGTAAACAGATAATAACTACAGGGATGTTACCATAGGTGATGTTACGTGTAAAATATTTATTACCAATAACATAGGATATATTGTATTGAACACCAGATTAACAACCTTTTACTGTGTATGGGATACAATTTCAGATCCGCAGGTATGGTTTAGTTACACCTTTGTCTTTTGCTGGCTACTCCTTTGTCTTATTTCACAAACAGTGTATTTGTGTAATGGGCTGTGGTGACAACAGAATTAGAATAAATGTGATATTAATTAGAATACATTTGTCGTTGACAGTTGGTGACTGCAACAATACGTATCCTGTGTATTCCTCCCCCCAAGTCATTGTGTCACCTGGATACCCGGACTCTTATGAAAGGTATGTTAAATGTACTGTAAAATGATGTCTATCCGCACGCCGCCGCTCAAACCTAACACACATGGAGGATAACGAATCAAAGCAAGCATTACTGCATTTTAGTAAGTCACATAGAAAGAATGTAGGTCCAGATGAACAGATGTGCAAAGCAGTTACGCCTACGTTCACTTTTATTTGATGTTATACACCTGCTCATGCGCGATGGTATACATCTGCTTATGGGCAGAGTATTTAAGAAAGTACGTTGTTCCTGCATGACTGGAATGTCTTGATTAAGTATTTGCTTAATACCGTATGGGGTGTCATCCCAGAATATGGCCTATTCTTATTAGCATTACAATGGCAAGAGTGAATCACCTCATGTTGTAGATGTCCTGGAGAATATTAATTATAGAAATGGGTTTTCTTACGAGTTAATTCCGTGGTGCGTGTTGCTTACTTTATCGGGGGTGGGGGGCTGGGGGGGTGGTGGGTTCTTCCTTACTAAACTGACCTTTTCAATGGCTGTAAGGACTAAGATCACATCACGGAACACATCTCAAACACCCAAGCTATCACAGAAATATTGTACAACTGAAAATGATGCACGCTGTTCCATAAAGAGAATCTTTTACACACTTCTCTTGTCGCAGTTGTATAATGTCCAGACAATAATATACCTATCTATTAAAATTGTTTCAGGAACTTGGAATGCTTCATAATACTGGCCGATCTATCACAATCAACGCCAGGAAACTTGAAACTGGACATCGTGGACTCGGATTTAGATGGTGCCTACCCAAACTGTGAAAATGACTCGGTTACTCTTTATCAAGGTGTGTGAGTAATGTTCAAAACCATGGAACAAGACCTATGCGTTGTCGACTCAGTTCAAAATACGTTTGGGGCGGTGGGGTAGCCTGGTGGTTAAAATATTTGCTCGTCACGCCAAAGACCCGCGTTTGATTCCCCACATGGGCACAATGTGTGAAGCCCATTTCTGATGGTCTTCACCGTGACATGCTGGAATATTGCCAAAAGATAAAAGCGTCCTAAAATTAAACTCACTCATTCAGGGACAACCTCAAGGCCAGGCTACGCTTCCTCCATCGCGAAATGCAAATTTAACGATTACGTACTAAGAATTGTTGGGAACAAAACCTCACAAAGATAATTGAATCGAGACATATAATTATCGGCAAATCACATAGCAAACTTCGACCAGTTCTTTAAGTGGACTCAGTCAGTCGATTTTATGCATTGGTGAATGTTTACAGATTGGCAGAATTAACCAAAACACCAAAAGAGTAATTCAAAATATAATTCAAGGGTGAGGAAAGAAGAGGTTTAATTGCTCTTCTGTATTTGTTTGTAAGTGTCTATATGTTTTGAATGTAGGTCAGAGAGGGAGCCGCATTGGAGAGATTTGTGGTGATTCTTCAACAACCCCAGTGGGCCCTTACTACTCCAACGGATTAGTCATGACAATGGTGTTCAAGACCAACGGTGACACAAGTAGTCGGGGCTTCCGAATCCGTGCTTCACACAGCATACGGAAAGGTATGTGAAAGACCTGCAGAAGTATAAACTCAGTCTAAAGTTGAATGACGTACATAATATTCGAATGTTAGGACACCATGTCGTATTCTGCAAACGGTGTAGGCCTCCGAAATAAAATGATTGAATTCGTCAATATTACAGTGGTACCACCTCAGTCAGGAAACTGTGGCTCTCGGTTCCTTAATGCGACCACAAATCGACAGTTCTTACAGTCCCCTGGATACCCTGTACGATATCAAAAGTAAGTATTCATTTAGTACCTGTGTGTTTACATGAGTATACATCAGCGATTGACTTTGGTAGATCTACACTGACCATTATTCAGTGACATAGCTATATTTTCCATTATGCGATTACTTAAAATGAAAATATGAAATAGATAATAAAGGTAGAGCTCAGTCTCCATTTACATGGCGATGCTACTGAAATGAATTCTTCTTACAGCAATGAAGACTGTCGGTGGACAATAACGGCTTCTAGTCCAAATATGATGGTGCGCATCGAAGTTATCGACTCGGATATAGAATCTAATGATCGAAGTTACGTAACCTGCAGATATGACCATGCTACGGCTTATGACGGTGAGTTATATGTAGTCTCTACTTCCATGATGAATTGATAACGACCAAGACCAATGTATTGATCCATTGCCTTTTTGTTCTTTACAAAATCAAGGGGATGAAGGACATTTTTGTATATTCCTATGGAGTGAAGACTGACCACACAATGACTGTTTGTTCTTCATCCAGCTACGGGGGCGGTGGGGTACCCAAATGGTTAAGGCGTCCGCTCGTCACGCCAAAGACCAAGGTTTGATTCCCCACATGGGTACAATGTGGGAAGCCCATTTCTGGTGTCCCGCGCCGTGGTATTGCTGGAATATTGCTAAAAGCGGTGTAAAACAAAACCCACTCACTCATCCAACTACGTGACAGTAGTCTGTAAATGATCGAGCCTGGACTGGACAAAAACAGTGATTGACGTCATGGACTTCGATCTACGTTACTGCGTTACGTAACATTACGTTACGCTATGTGTCAAGAAAGTCAGACACCCCGGTCGTACCTCTTTTAACTGTCATGGGTTGCTGATGATCATTTTTCACTTTGATCAAACTAGGCCGCCTCCGTGGTGTAGTGGTTAGAGCGTCCGCCCGGAGATCGGAAGGTCGCGGGTTTCGATCCCCGACCGCGTCATACCAAAAGATGTTAAAATATGTTACTTGTTGGTGCTGCCTGGCGCTCGGCATTAATGGGTACAACAAGGACTGGTCGGCTCGGAGTCAGTATACTGTGTCTGAGTGGGGTATTCATGCTTCACTGCGGCATGGTATCTCAATGAGCTAGCACTATAAAACCAGCTTCAGTCTGGGCTAGTACAAGCAGCCGCACATACACATACACACGCCTGCACGTCGTCATATGAGCGAAATATTCTCAAGCACGACGTTAAACCCAATTTCACCTCACCTTGATCGAACTGTCAAACGCATATCTGCCCAACACAAGGACTAAATGTTTATCAAATGTTATTTTTGAAGGATCTTTTTAATTAATTATCATTTAATAGTCGAATTTTTAAAGGAAATAGAATTATTAGATAAATTTTGTATCTATGAAGGGGGGTTAAATTATCGTAAAACTATTGTCCTCCTGAGAGGGTACATAAGTCCCAAAACTTTCAAAGTTAAATATAAACTTACCAGATTTTTAAACGTAGTAAAATCGGCTAAACGTGTCCTACAATCGCCAGCAGCAGAAGGGATGGTGTAAATCCAACTAGGGTTCATTCAGGTACTATAAGTCCCCATGGTCCCTAGTATGGTGATCTACCTTCAGTTGTTGGCGATCAGTGGCCTGTTTTTATAATGTATCGTCCTCTATAGTTAAAGTATTTTAGATTTCATGATTAGTTGTAAATATATATCTGTGATAGTCTAGTTGGTTTTACTGTCCTTTGTCGACAGCTATTAAACAAATTGATTACCTTGTTTTCATCGCTATATGGCTGTAATATTGCCAATGCGATGTAAAATTTTAACTCACTCACTTCTTAATAGAATTAGTTTTCATTTAGTTATATTTATCAAAGGAAATTTATTAATACATTTTGATAATAGTGTTTATTGTAATTAGTAAGTGATTGTGATGAGGTAATAGCTGTACCTTCAAAGGGGGTCAAATTAGTGGAGTTACGTAAGTCCTTGTTTGTAATTCAATGTATTTTAGATGTTGTAAATAACATGAATTGAAGAATATTTTTTTAAACGTTCAGCTAAATTTAACCTGCCCGCTCAGGTAGCGAAGGTGCTGTAAGTCCACACGGTCCCTGGTATGATGGTCCACCTTCTCTCGAGATCTATAGCCCGTTTTCATATAGTACCGTTCTGACATCTGTTTAGGACAACTTGCTAGTTTTCTGTGATACACCAGTTGTTTGACTGTTTATTATAAACCGGTTATCATCGTCTAAATTTATACCTATTAATGTATTATTGTTCTTGCTATGATGTGACTAAAATATAATACCCCTAAATATTCACATATTCATGTCTTTCACTTTCCAAAACCAAACGGTGGTGGTTCTTGACACTGTGGATATGTAAACGAGAGAAGACATCTGACAGTTAGGGCCCCTTTTCACTGACACAAGGTCACCACTTTATTCCTTCTACTCATTGTATCCAGAAACATGAGAACTGCAATGTCTGCAAAGGTCCATTTTCACGAAGAAGCTACTTATGATCTTGGTGCCCATTTTACATTGTATTGTCTCAAATAGTTTCCTACTTTTAAAAATATTACTAGCTAGTTTTAACTCTTTTTGTGATACTCTAGTTATTTTACAGTCCGTCGATGACTAGGTATTTAATTACTTGTATTTATTGTGTATGTACAACATTTCTCGTCACTATATGGCTGAAATATTGCCGGGGTGACGTTAAAGTTTAACTCACTCACTAAGATCTTGGTAACTGGAGAAAGCGTTCTTGAAGACAGTTGCTACAAGCAAATTTCATTTCACACAGGAAATGTCTACGAATTGTAACGTATGATCAACGTGAAAAGAAAACAAACCCATGTCAAATATTCCACCAAATCAGGCTCATAGATTATCCACATTCCTTTCCAAACTTTGGACAAGTGGAAATGAAACTATTTGGATCCTCAAAACCGCAAAATATTTGCTTGAAAATTTGCAACCTCTGGAACAACAAAAAATATGTTAAAACATTTGATTTTTCACCATGTACACCACAATCCAAAGTCACCAACTTATTCATTTAAATTACAGCAATGTCAAATGAAGTTCACTTTGAAATGAATTGCCAGAAAAAATAGCATTCATAAACCGACTCACATTATTTTAAATTTAAACACGTACTGGTGCTGAAAACCTGCTGATAGATCAAGGTATCAGCAGTGTCATGTAGGATAATCCCGCTTGACTGTGTTGAATATTCCATCACAAGGGATATCACAAATCTCAAACTATGAAGGATCTTTTTAGTAATGTCAGTTCTCATTTAATTATTGCATGTTTGAAAGAATTAGATTTGTTAAATGATTTGTAAATAGATAAATGGTATTTTAAACATGGTAGTATAAATTTGCAACTGCGATTATTAGTGGCTGTATCTTCGAAGGGGGTTAAAGTATCGTAAAATTATTGTCTTCTTGAGAGGGTACGTAAGTCCCAAAACTTTCAAAGTTAAATTTTTGCTTACCCGATTTTTCAACGTAGTACATTTGTCCCTTTAAATTTTGGCTAAACTTGTCATACAATCGCCAGCGGCTGAAGGGATGGTGTAAGTCCAACTAGGGTCATTGCAGATAGCGAAGGCACTGTAAGTCCCCATGGTCCCTAGTATGGTGATCTACCTTTTGTTGTTGGCGATCTATAGCCCATTTTTACATTGTATTGTCCAGAAATAATTTTCTACTTTTAAATATATATGCCAGCTAGTTTTAACTCAATCTGTGATAATCTAGTGGTTTTACTGTCCTTCGTTGACAGGATTGTATATATTATATGTATGTATTATTAATTTAGAACTAGATTTGGTCACGATATGGCTGAAATACTGCCGATGTGACTTTACATCTTAACTCACTCACTCATTTAGGATAACATATAGCCTTCTTCCTGGACACTGTAATCCAGATTGTTTTTTATGTATAGAAAATCTTTCTCATCAGTGCCCTGCTTGCTCATAACAGTCGTTCTTACGAAATATTTACATAATTGTGCTTAGATATCTTTTTAGATTTGGCACCAATGAAGGGCCACCTCCTCGTGGTGGGTGCTGGGTCACGCCAAGCGCCCTTCAACCCCCCGTTGTGGACCCGGGGGGATATTAGGTCCACCAACCCGTTTGCCGTGGGTTGCGCCCCTGTGTCGGTGGAGGACGGGATTCTGGTGGTTGAGGGCACTGGTTCCAGGAACAGTGTTCCTTTGCCCAATACACCACTTCGACCCTTACTTCACCTAGACGGGTGGTAGAACTGGCCCGGTTTTATCAATCGGCTGGTCACGCCATGCCCTGTGCATGGACTACATTCTTATGCACTTATTGTATATTATTGTGCATTTTTGTCTTTGAATGTTTGAATTTCAAATGATATTCTATATCATATGTTTGCCTAGAGTCCTATGCCAGAAGGCGGTGGCTCATGGGCCAATCTGGTGATATGGACCGCTGATTACTGTGTTGGTACAGGAAAGTGCCATGGGCCGAACCAGCCTGACATTTCTCCTTTATTAACAACAGCTTTTCATGTCCTTATTTCTGAGTATGGCATTCCTGTAACCCTGGTGTCGTAGGTTGGCTTCCACTACATCACTGTCCTTGTTGACACTCGATGGCGGGTGGGGAGCAGGGATGCTGAAACTTATTCTTACAACATGGCTTCAACTGCGCACTCTGGTTCGTCGAAAAATAACAAACGCCGACATGTGGATTCTGTTTCCTCTGATGATGATGTCTCATCACAAGTTTCAACTTTTTGGCCAAGATTCCTAGTTATTTCATCTGCTGATGGCAATGCCCTAAAACTGAATCCCTTTGCAATATCTAAGGGAATCCAAAGTATCTGTGGGGAAGTGAAAAACGTCACTCGTCTTCGTTCTGGATCAATCCTCGTAGAATGTGATCGGAAACAACAATCAGTTAATCTGATGGGTCTTCAGAATTTTGTTAACATACCAGTTGTTGTTTCTGCTCACAAGTCACTTAATTCTTGTAAAGGCATTGTGAGAGATCGTGCTCGCTGTCTGTCAGACATGACAGAGGAGGACATTGCAGCTGAACTGACATCTCAAGGTGTAACCTCTGTCAAGCGCTTTACCAGAAAAACAGAAGCTGGAAATATTGTGAACACTCACACTTATCTTTTCACCTTTTCCTTATCAAAAATCCCCACATCAATAAAAGCTGGTTACTTTAACATTGGAGTGGAGGTATATGTCCCGAACCCACTCCGATGTTACAAGTGTCAACGGTTTGGCCATGGAGCGAAATTTTGCACTGGTATGACAAGATGCTTCCGTTGTAGTGGAACTCATGAGGGTTCTGAATGCA